AAGCCAACTGGGGGAAGTAGGGGGTTTATTTGTTTGTGTATTTGTTTTGTCCCACTCGGGCAGGGGTGGTATTCACTTACCTTCGCTACCGGTTCGCAAATGTGAGTGTGCATGCAGGGACTTCTGCACATGTGCAGATCGTCAAAAATGAGATGTGATGATGTCCGGGCGGGTGGGCGGAGCCTCCGCAGCCGCCGCTACCTGTTCGCCTGAGCTGGATAGAACCGGCTGAATACCACCACTGCACTCAGAGTCACAATCCACAGCAAGGGTCAAATGTATGATTTACATTGGGGAGGGGGGAAGTCATTCCAGAGAGAATGGGGAGTTTTCTATCAATGTAGATAGGTCTGATCCAGATTGTGACTCTTCAATTCAAGAACAAAGTCATAATTGATAAAGGATCTTCTTCGGTTATATTTTTCCTTAAAATTTCTAATTGCTGTGATATACTAAGAGAGCTTTCTTTGACCGGTGCAGTAGCCTAGAGGTGAAGGTATTCGCCTCCCACTCAAAAAGTTGAGAGTTCAATCCTAGGCGGCAACAGAAAATTCTCTATCAGGGCTCGAAGAGAAAATATCTGCTGTGAACTCTGCATAGGTGTCAGGAAGGGCATCCAGCTAGTAAATGCTCAGTTTCACTCAATTGCTCTGTCCCCCGCCCCGAAGAAAGAGATTACAGGGTCATAAAAAGAAAAAAAAAAACTAGGAGAACTTTCTTCAGTTCAGTACCTTCCAGAGAGTTTTAGATGATCATTTCCAAAGTTCTTGGACAAAATGTCCAAAGGTAAAGAGTGTGAAAATTGTATTCTAAAAGGATTGGACAAAATTGATTTACCTACCATGCAACATTCCAAAGTTGCAACAGCTAGCATTCTTTATCCTGGGTCCATCATTTAGCAGGCTTGGTCTTATAGAGAAATATGTCTTATATAACAAGCCACCTATGTTAGGTTTATGTCTCTCATGGCCCAGGAATCAGATTCTGACTCGAAAGAAGCTGCTCCAGCTGAACCCGTGGAGTCTCAGCCTCAGGAAAAACCAAGCCAGGAAACACCAGAAGCATCACCAGAACCAGCCTTGGTAGTACAGGGGTTTAAGGCACCCTGTTATTAAGCTGGTTATTAAGACCAGCTGCCTGCAATTACTGCAGGGTTCGAATCTCCCCAGGCTCAAGGTTGACTCAGCCTTCCATCCTTTCTAAGGTAGGTGAAATGAGGACCCAGTTTGTGGGGGCAATAAGCTGACCTTGTATAAATATACAAAAGGATGAAGGCTATTGCTGAGCGCATTGTAAGCCGCCCTGAGTCTTCGGAGAAGGGCGGCATATAAATCAAATAATAATATAATTAAAAAAATAAAAAAAAACAGGAGCATTAGTCAGATGGTAGGTATGGTCCCCAAGCCTCTCTGACTTGGCAAATGGAGTGGAGAGCAGAGCAAAAAGGCTCAGTGAGGCTCCCTGCCAAGCAAGAGACAAGCGCTTTTCATTGAAAATAACTGGCCTGATTTAAGAGGCAGCCCTGACCCATATTTCTTGATTAAATAACTGTCTGATTTCCTATTCTGGCAGGACAGTCCTATGAAATCTTGCTCGTGAAACTCTGACCTTGGACTGCCTGACAAACTTGGCTTGGCTTTTTGAACTTTGGACTGGATTTTGACTATTCCTCAGTTGTGTTGCGGTCGAAAGCAGAACCACCCAGGCAAAGCTTTCTTTCCAAGAGATTTTGGCGATTTACATTCCTTCCCTTATCTGCTGTTATCTTCTCACCCTTGAATAATTTGCTATTCTCAGCGAGTGGCTGTGTGTGTGTGGATTTGAAGCCTGAAACAGAACAATATCAGTTCTATCTTTTCCCAAGGCAATTTCCCAGCTGCAATATCTTCATCTTTGGGATAGCCATGTTAGAAGATTCGTTCTCAGGGGGGCTTTGGAAGAAAGATTTGATAGTGTCAGGGAAATCTGTATGAGCCTTACTGAATTAAGGAAAAGAACTCTCTAATATAATATGGACCTGTACAGCGGAGATGCTCATAACCAGAATATGGGAATGATCCCTTTGTTTTTCACTCTTGGCTCCTAAAAACTCATGTTAGGCATGCTTGCATACCAGAATATGAAATCAAGCAGCTGTGTTGTGTTTATTTGAACCTAGATTGATTTCACTTGAGTGGCGACTTGATAATCTTCTTTTAAGGAGAGATTGCAATTACTTCTAGGAGTTATAATTGCGGCAGCATTTAATCTCCGCGTTTGGAAATCTAAGCATCCGTGACTTTGGAAATATATGTAGGGGAGACGAGGAAGGCCGTGCCACTTCCCTTCTGTTTGAATGGACTGGTTCTGAACAAGCCACAGCCCAGGAGTGGCCCATGGCCCAGGGAGTTAGAGACCCCTGCTTTAGCTAGTGAACTAGCATTCCTACACAGTTTCTTTCATCATCATCTTCTTCTTTAACGATCCCATAATCCCTTGCGGGGTGGAGTCTGAGCAACTGAATGCAGCTAGCAGAGTGTTTTTATTGGCCAGATGCCCTTCCGATCACCAATGCGGAGTTTTGTTTGGCATATATATTCTCATTGTGCCCAGAGAGAGAAATATCTGCCTCTACCTAGCATCGAACTTACAGTGAGGCAAGAGCTCCACCTCTATACAGTTTCTTTCATCAGGGAATATTCTACTACCCTCTTTCCCCCAAAATAAGACATCCCTTGATAATAAGCCCAGTCGGACTTTTGAGTGTGTGCTCTAAAATAAGCCTCCCCCTCCCCGAAAATATTTAAACGCAGAGCTGGAAATCAGGTAAGACAGCAAGAGGAGCCTCATCTTGCTCCATGCGCCCCAAAATAATAAGACCTCCCCAAAAATAAGGCCAAGCGCTTATTCCAGGGTTCAAAAAAATATAAGACAGGGTCTTATTTTCGGGGAAACGCGGTAGATCAGTTCTCCCGCAGGAAACATATGATGCTCTCTTTGGATAATTCCTGCACTGCAGATGAGTCATGCCAGTTGCTACCCATTTAGCAGAAGGAGGGGCCCGTTTGTTCTCTTCTGCACCGGATCCTGCAACTTCTGAAGGCAGCCCATGTAATTGTAGCTCCCGTTAGGTGACGATGTTCCCACTCCAGCATCCATTAGGAAAATTTTAGATACTCACTACGGTACTATTGTTAGTTATTCAAAGGCAGCTCCCTCGGTACGCTGTTTCCTTCCATGCTAAGAAGAAACAAAAGGAGCTGCCGAATAGTAATGGCCGTAGTAGTAGTGGTACTATAGAGGCTCTCTGTGAAATTTAAAGCCAGAGATGAATGTAGGAATATGATTTGTACACAATGAAATGGCAGTGAGTTTAGCAATCTGGGGGCAGTAAAACAATGGGAACAAGCAGATATTAATTAAACGGCTATATTTATCCTTCCCGACACAACTGTTTGTTATTCCGTGCGAATAGCTGAAAGATAAATCAGCGTGACCAGGGGAAAGGTTTTGCCAGGTGACCTAATTCCCTTTTAAAAGCTAACGATCGAGGTTACAAATTTTCCCTTCCCGTAGTGCACAACCAAAGGATCATTTCCTTAAACCCCAGCCTTTCTGTAATTTGGGGGAACTGAAAGTACACGGGGAGCCCTTTTTTGCGATCCCCAAATCCAGTTGCCTCCTGAAAAAAAGCACCTTTGGGACAACCATGACCTCAGGATGGATGGCTGAGAATCTCTACAGACTTTTGAAGGTACTTAAAAGTCTGCTGAGGTTAATGAGACTTTAGTTGGACCCATCCCATTAGAGCCTTGATAGTACAGTGGTTTAATGCACCCTGTTATTAACACAGCTGCCTGCAATTTCTGCTGGTTCGAATCTCTCCAAGGCTCAAGGTTGACTCAGCCTTCCATCCTTTCTAAGGTAGGTGAAATGAGGACCCAGTTTGTGGGGGCAATAAGCTGACTTTGTATAAAAAAATATACAAAAGAATGAAGGCTATTGCTTAACACATTGTAAGCCGTCCTGAGTCTCCGGAGAAGGGCGGCATATAAATCAAATTTTTTTAAAAAAACTACATTTGCTATTTGTTATACAGGTCGTCCTTGATTTACAACAGTTCATTTAGTTCCAAGTTACAACAGCATGGAAAAAAGTGACTTATGACTGTGGGTTGTTTTTTTTTTTTTTACACTTATGACAATGGCAGCATCACATGATCAAAATTCAGGCACTTGGCAACTGACTCATATTTATGACGGTTGCAGAGCAAAGTCAATGGGGAAGCCAGATTTCACTTCACGACCAATTGACTAACTCATCAATGGCAGCGATTCACTTAACAAATATGACAGGAAAGGTTCGTAAAACATGGAGCCGAAGCCACTTAACAAGTTTCTCACTTTAGCAACATAAATATTGGGCTCAATTTTGTGGTCGTAAGCTCAAAGGTTACCTGGACTGGAATATATTCAAGTGTAATGGACTGCCAATGTTCCAATGTTCAGGTTTTCATCCAGTGGTGAAATCCATTTTTTTTTTACTACTGGTTCTGTGGGCGTGGCTTGTTGGGTGTGACTTGTTGGGCGTGGCGTGGCTTGGTGGGCATGGCGTGGCTTGGTGGGTGTGGCAGGGGAAGGCTACTGCAAAATCCCAATTCCCTCCCCACTCCAGGGGAAGGCTACTGCAAAATCCCCATTCTGTCCCCACTCCAAGGGAAGGCTACTGCAAAATCCCCATTCTGTCCCCACTCCAGGGGAAGGCTACTGCAAAATCCCCATTCCCTCCCCACTCCAAGGGAAGGCTCTGCAAAATCCCCATCCCCTCCCCACTCCAGGGGAAGGCTACTGCAAAATCCCCATTCCTACCCCACTCTGGGGCCAGCCAGAGGTGGTATTTGCCGGTTCTCTGAACTGCTCAAAATTTCCGCTACCGGTTCTCCAGAACCTGTCAGAACCTGCTGGATTTCACCCCTGTTTTCATCCCACTCCTGGTGTGGAGTTCAATGTACCAGAGAAGCATTTTTTTTTCTTTGCACATATAATGGCGGTTGCTTTTATTTTCGAAACACCAAACACAAGCTGTAAGTGGTCTGTTGGAACCCAGGTCATGGTGCTTCTTTCCGTTTTCCTTGTCGAGTTCTCTGTTTTGAATTGCTGGCTTCATGCCGGCTTCGCCAAGCAGAAGCGGGATCCGTGGTGAAAAGGTTATAATATCTGTGGACAGGCTGGGTGAGTTAAGCATGAATTCTCCACTTACTCGCCTTCCTCCCTGCAGTGCCTTATTGGCCCAAAGTCCGCCTAGAAAAGCGCTGAGGATGATGATGATTTTGCTTTCCTCCTGTGGGAGTTTCCTGGCCGTGGCTAAGCGTCGGGCAAATGAAAACTGGGGTGTCTGAATATCTCTTTCGGCTTGCCAAAGGTAACCACCTGAAAATAATCAGGAACGAGGAATATAACAAATGTCAGCTGCATTAGCAAATGTCAAGTAGGAAGCAAGCGTGCAGTGAGTTTCCTGCATGCATTTCTTACCGCCTAGAAGTTGCCTTGGGGAAGGAGAATAAGAAGGAGAGGGGGAAGAAACCAGAAGGACTTGTTCTGGGCCTTCATTGTGGATTGGGTTTGCTCTGGGGGCTCCTTTATTGCGGGACACTTTCTAAAATAGGGCTCATGATTGAGAATGTCTGCCATCTGCCATAGATTCCCACCTCTCTAGGGTCCTGGATGCCCCCTGAGCTTGGTTGTTTTCTTGCAGACATTTAATTACCCAACTATGTAACATTATCAGTTAGAAGGAGTGGGGCTGGTGGAGAGGAGGAGGAGGAGGAGGACGACGACAACTGACAGACAGACTGTGGGGTTCTTGGTGCCCTCTGAGCTTGGTTGTTTTCTCGCAGACATTTCATTACCCAACTATATAACATTATCAGTGATAGAAGGGAGTGGGGTTTGTTGAGAGGAGGAAGAGGAGGAGGGGAGGACACTGTGGGTTTCTTGGTACTCTCTGAGCTTAGTTGTTTTCTTGCAGATGTTACATTACCCAACTATGTAACATTATCAGTGCTAGAAGGAGTGGGGTTTGTGGAGAGAGAGAAGGAGACACGATTGTGGGGTCCTTGGTGCTCTCTGAGCTTGATTGTTTTCTTGCAGACGTTACATTACCCAACTAGGTAACCTCATCAGTGCTAGCTTTCCATCTCTTTAGTTCATGTTAAGATTGTTTTAGTTCATGGTTTGTATTTTCCCCCTAATATTATTTGGGTGCTTACTGGGGTGTTGGTTATTAATCAAATGCACTTCACTCTTTCTCCTGTATTGTTTACTTAAGGGGGAAAAAAATCATTTTCCCTTTTCCGTGAAAGGAATACTTATCGTTGAAAAGGACCCAAAAGAATTCCTTTCTGAAAATAATCCCAATGCTCAATACATCAGTTCCTGGAAGAACTGAGTCTTCTGGGGATTTTTTTTTCTTCTCTCCGGTTCAATACCTTGCCTTTATCCATCACCAAAATACGGTTGCACTCTTTAATGGTGTTTAGGCGATGTGCTATTGTCAAGACTGTGCAGTTTACAAATGCTTCTTGGTTGGCCTTCTGGATCTGCGTATCTGTCTCAGAATCAATAGAAGCGGTGGCTTCGTCGAGAAGGATGATCTGCGGGGAGAATTCAAACAGGTTAGGCAAGGTGTTGTGATCCACCAGCAGTCTGCGGAGCTGGCAGTGGAGTCGGACAGTGAGGAGGCTGGGGAGGGCAATGGGCCAGTCCTGGAGTCTGGGGAAGGCTCGGATGAGGACTCTGCATCTGAGGCAGAGATGGGGTCAGGGCCATCTGGGAGTGATGCGCGGACTCCAGAGCCCCCAGAGTCAGACAGCAGAGAGGCAGAGGGACAGGAAGAGTGCCCAAAGTGCGTGCGCGATGCAAACCAGTCGTAAAACTGGTTAGAACCCACCACTGGGTGGAAGGCTGAGTCAACCTTGAGCCTGGTGAGATTTGAACTGCCAAATTGCAAGCAGCCGGCAGTCAGCAGAAGTAGCCCTGCAGTACTGCACTCTAACCACTGCGCCACCGCAGCTCATAACGTAAAGGCAGAGGAAAGTCTTTGGGCTGTGGCAAATAGTCTCATGTATCCTGGAGAAACTTGGCCAGGGATCTCTACAGTGGTGAAATCCATTTTTTTTTACTACTGGTTCTGTGGGCGTGGCTTGGGCATGGTAGGTGTGGCTTGGTGGGCATGGCAGGGGAAGGATACTGCAAAATTCGCATTCCCTCCCCACTCCTGGGGGAAGGATATTACAAAATCTCCATTCTCACCCCACTCTGGGGCCAGCCAGAAGTGGTATTTGCTGGTTCTCTGAACTGCTCGAAATTTCCGCTATGGGTTCTCCAGAACCTGTCAGAACCTGCTGGATTTCACCCCTGGATCTCTGTCTACGATTGTGTGTATGCACCCAAGCGCAGATCCAAAAATGGAGCAGTCAGTTGTGTCTGTAGAGATGTGTCACTCTTTAAATGTGCTCATGAACCCTCTGTGAGGGTGGTTTAAACATATGGACGTTCCTCCATATGTAAAGTTGTAAGATCCTTCATGAAGATTTAAGTACAGGTAGTCCTCGACTTACAGCCACAATTGAGCCCAGAATTTCTGTTCTTAAGAGAGACATTTCCTAAGTGAGTTTTTGCCCCATTTTACGACCTTCCTTGCCTCTGTTGTGAAGTGAATCCCTGCAGTTGATAAGTTCGTAACCCCGGTTGCGAAGTGAATTTGGCTTCCCCCATTGACTTTGCTTATCAGAAAGTCGCAAATCGTGTGATCCTGGGACGATGCAACCATCATAAGTATGAACCAGTCGCCAAGAATCTGAATTTTGATCACGTGACTCTGGGGATGCCACAAAGGTCATAATTGTGTAAAATAGGCATAAGTCGCTTTTTTCAGTGGCGTTGTAACTTTGAACCAGGGGTGGTATTCACTTACCTTCGCTACCGGTTCACAAATGCAGAGCAGTGGTGGGTTGCCCCCATTTCGGACCGGTTCTATAGAACCGGTAGTAAAATTGGCAGGAGGCTCCGCCCACTGACCCTGACGTCACGAGAAGTGATCTGTGCATGTGCAGAAGCGATCCCGTTGCAAACCGGTAGTAAAGGTAAGTAGAACCCACCCCTGGCGCAGTGCCTTCCACGCATGTGTAGAGCATCAAAAATGGGATGTGATGACATCCGGGTGGGTGGGTGAAGCTTCTCACAGCCGCCGCTACCGATTCGCCCGAACCGGATCGAACTGGCTGAATACCACCAACTGCTTTGAACGGTCACTAAAATGAACTAAATGAAGTCGAGGACTACCTGTTATGATATAGATTTGCACGTTTACACTGGACGATGTTTTATTGATTTGCGAGATCCCATAAGGGCTTTTCGGTGAGGTAGGCAGCGAAATGTCAGAATAGATATTTTTGGAACAAAAAGCAGGATGCCAAGTCGAGATACAGAGTAAGCCAGTTGTTCCCTCAGAGCCTATTTAACCGAACAAATATTTGGATTCCTTATTAACAAGATCAGGTGGAGTTGACATTTTGTATGCAGATGGAGCTTGATGGCCCTTTGAACAATAGCGCCATCTTCCTTTTTTCGTAAAGAATAGCAGCCCCCGGGAGCACACCTGGGCCTCTTCAATAAACCAGAATTGGTTGGAACGGTGACAGGAATGCGTGCCGATTAAAATTAAATTCAATTTTTAAAAAATGATTATGATAGTGTCGGAACGACAGTATCGTTTAAACAGTCCATCATTTGAGCAAGGTGAAACAATTCACCGAAACGAGTGTTTAAATATTCAAACGCGTCTCTTAAATATGCAAACAATTGCTTAAATAAAGCACAGAGTAAGGCCCCTTTAAAAGAAAAATTGGGGATGAGGGCCGATAAAATTACTGAAGAGAGCTTTTAGAAAGACAGGTGCTGGGAAAACCCCCCCACTTTCATAATTGACCATAACGGAAGTTGGTCCTTGGAGATTTTCCAAGTCCAACCCCTTGCTCAAGCAGGAAACCATTTCAGACAAATGGTTGTCTAATCTCTTCTTAAAAACCTCCAATCTTAGAGCACCTACAACTTCTGGAGACAAGTTGCTCCCTTGTCAGGAAATTTCTCCTTAGTTCTAGAGCAACGGTCACCAACTGGTGGTCTGTGAGAAAATTTTGGTGGTCAGCAGAAAAATTATTTGCATTTTTTTATATTGCACTAAATCAGGGGTCCTCAAACTACAGTCTCTGGGACAGATATGTGCAATGAACATATTGCTGCAGAGAGTCTCCCCCTTCGAGGTCTTTTTGTGTGGGTCAGAAGGGGACAGAAATTCCAAGTATGGCTAATCTAAAGAAAAGAAGGACAAGGGATGACATGATTGCGGTATTCCAATATTTGAAGGGCTGCCACAAAGAAGAGGGAGTCAACCTATTTTCCAAAGCATCTGAAGGCAGGACAAAAAGCAACAGATGGAAACTAATCAAGGAGAGAAGCAACCTGGGATTATGGAGAAACTTCCTAACAGTGAGGACAATTAACCGGTGGAACAGATTGCCTTCAGATGTTGTGGGTGCTTCAACACGGGAGGTTTTTAAGAAGAGACGGGACAGCCACATGTCTGAGATGGTATAGGACAGGAGTCAGCAACCTGTGGCTCTGGAGCCGAATGTGGCTCTTTCATCCCTTTGCTGTGGCTCCCTGTTGCTGGTCAGCTCCACAATGGATAGGGCTTTCGGTTAGGACAGGTAGAGGAAAAATGATGCCGTACTAGGAGGAGACTCTATGGTGGGGGAACCGGACTTCCGGTCAGCAGAGGAAAAAAGGATGCCACACTAGGAGGAGACTCTATGGTGGGGAAACTGGACTTCCCAGCCGGCTCCAGAATTGAACAAGGGGCTTCCGGTTAGGATCCTTCTGGATTTTGAGTGTTTAAGGTTGCTGATCCCTGGTATAGAATCTCCTGCAGGGGGTTGTACTAGAAGGCCCTCAAAGTCCGTTCCAGCTCTATTCTGATTGATTGATTGATTGATTGATTGATAGCTGGAAATGCAGATGGAACAATCTTTTAAATTCGAGGGGCTCTTAAGTATTCAAGACCAGCCTGAATCAAGTCAGATTGCTGCAGGACTCACTTTTGAGTTTCGCAGGAGGGCTCTTGCCAAACAGAGCAGCTGTCGTTCCCCCACTGAAAAATTTTCCCCGTTTTCAATCACTTCTGCCTCCAGCTTTCCTGGTAGCTTGGAAATCTAAAGCAAGGAAGGGGGTGAGGGGAGGAAAACACCACAGCTGAAAGGTTCATCTTTGATGCTCACAATAGTTGAAGACGGGTGATGGGTTTTAACGATTATACCGGTGCTGCTTCTCTAAAAGTGATGCAGATATAAATGAACCGTGTGATAAGTGACGCGAATGCTGGGTGACAGGCAAGGGAGAAGACAGGCAGATGGGAGAAAGGAGCAGGAGAGAGAGAGAGAGAGAGAGAGAGAAAGAAAGAAAGAAAGAAAGAAAGAAAGAAAGAAAGAAAGAAAGAAAGAAAGAAATGGTCCATGTAACATTTTGCAGTGCAACCAACACCTAGGGATTGAGGACACCTTCTGTCTCCAAGAATTAATCTCCACTGGATGGTGACATATTATAGAATAAGTAGATAAACTTGGTTTGTATCTCAGGGAGGTGAATAGTTCTCATAAAATTTGTCTTCCGGGGTTAAAGGATCCAGTGATGGATAACTTCTCTCTCTCTCTCTCTCTCATCTTCCTCCCTCCCTCCCTCCCTTCCTTCCTTCCTCCCTCCCTCCCTCCCTCCCTCCCTCCCTTCCTTCTTTCTTTCCTTCCTTCTCTCTCTTTCTCTCTCTCTCTCTTTCTTTCTTTCCCTTTGTCTATATGTCCCAAAAGTGCTTTTTCAAAAGGAAACTGGATTTTCTTTGAAGATGTTTCGCTTCTCATCATAGAAGCTTCTTTAGCTCTAAGAAGGATGGATAAGAAGCGAAACATCTTCAAAGAAAAACCAGAAAGTCCAGTTTCCTCTTGAAAAAGCACCTTTGGGATAACCAAGACCTGGATGGCTGAGAATCGACATCTTTATCTATACATTTATATCTTTATATAGCTATATCATCTCTCTCTCTCTCTCTCTCTCTCTCTCTCTCTCTCTCTCTCTCTCCTCTCTCTCTCTCTCTCTCTCTCTCTCTCTCTCTCTCTCCCTGTATATCGTATCTATATCTATATACCTATACCTATAAATCTATATCTATATCATCTATATCTATATCATCTATATCTATATCTATATCTAGATAGATATAGATAGATCAATAGATCGATAGATATCTCTATATATCTCTATTCTCTCTCTCTCTCTGTCTGTCTATCTATCTATCTATCTATCTATCTATCTATCTATCTATCTATCTCTATATCAATTGTCTTTCTATCCATCTTTCTATCTATCTTACCCCTATCTCTGCTCATCTATAGATCTATTCATTCCACATGCTGCCTTTTGTTTTATAACCAGCAAATAATAATACGCACTTACTATCAAAAACACAAACCACATACCTTGCTCATCATAAAGGTTTGGTTCAGAACTTGCCAAATTTGATCATCAGTATGGTTAAGAAGAGGATCCAAGTTGTATCTGGAAGGCAGGAATTGGTATCAAAAGAATAAATTGTTCGCTCCAAGGATAATACAACTCTTAACAGATCTGTCACAGATCCGTTAAATATGTAACAGAGATATGTAAAGAGAAAAAGTGCAATAAAAAAATAAATAACAACCACAAAAAATGCAATATTGCAGGCTAACTCGGCCGACTGCCAGCAGTTCAATCCTGAGAGGCTCAAGGTTGACTCTGCCTTCCATCCTTCCGAGATGGGTAAAATGAGGACTCAGATTGTTGGGGATGACAAGTTGACTCTGTAAAGTGCTTAGAGAAGGCTGTCAAGCACTGTGAAGTGGCATATAAGTCTAAGTCAAAAACTGCTTTTCATGGAATTAGCCAGAGGATCTGACTTCACCCACTGGTTAAGTTCAATAAGCCGCCTTATGGCTCAACGTGGTGATGAATCTTTTGGCTGTGTTTGCATACAGTATAATAAGAAAACTGTGTGGGATGAGTTTTCATAACCCAGCCAGCAAAGAGGCCCATAACCCCATGGGATGGAGACCGTTCCAAGGCTTGGCCCTCTCCCAATTTAATCAACGGAGTCATTATAACTCAACAACGATGGGTAGTCTCGCCATAAGGTGTTAGACGAGCACTGATTAGACCCGAGGTCTGGTTTTCATTTGCCCAGGGAATGTGTGGGTGTGATAGAAAGATGAAACAAATTCCTGAAAATGGGAAAGAGATAAATGGAGCATTAAGGGAGTAGGAGGTTCAAAATAGATTTCTCAGCTGCTGGAAAAGAACAAAGGAGGAGGAAGAAATTAATTCAAAAATAATCCTGCCTTCTCTTTGTTCGTGGTAAGATCTGTTAGAAAGAAACCTTGATGGGCCTAGGAAAAAAAAATCTATTCCAGATAGTCCTTGATTTACAACAGTTTGTTTAGTGACCATTCAAAGTTTACAACACGCTGAAAAAACTGGCTTATGACCGTTTTTCACACTGATGACCAATGCAGCATCCCCATGGACACGAGATCAAATTTCAGAGGTTTGGCAACTAACTCGTATTTATGACGGTTGCAGTGTCCCGGACTGCCACATGATCCCCTTTTGCGACCCTCTGACAAACAAAGTCAATGGGGAAAGTCAGCTTCGCTTAACAACCGTGTTAATAACTCAAGAACTGCAACGATTCGCTTAACAACGCTGGCAAGAAAGGTCGTAAATCAGGGCAAAGCTCACTTAGCAACTGCCTTTGCTTAGCAACAGACGTTTTGAGCTCAATTTTGGTCGTAAGTCAAAGGACTACCTACATTGTACCCTACCACCAGAAAAATTATTTCTGTACCTGTTACTGTTCTCTTTGCCTTCTTGGAAGGGCTAAAACGGAGCGACGTTGGGACAATCTCTGTCATCCCAAGTACCCAGAGAAAATATAAATGCCACTTACAATAAAAATGATCTGAGAGTTTGGAATGTAAAGATAAGGGATGAAATAGCAGCCAGTCAATTTAAGGGGTGCTTTGGTGCAAATAATGTCTTTTAAAAAAAGTTCACACAGGGTCATCATTCACAACCTGTCTCGCTTGTCACCCCAGATTGTAACCCAGAGATCATCAATCCTTTAGATTCCTTTTTAAAAGAAGGCCTGGAAACTACCATTAGTGTTCTGGTTACGCTTTGGCAGGAAAAGTAAAGGTAAAGAGATCCCTGCGGATTTTACGCCGCAATTCCGAAGACGTTTTCGTGGACCTGTGGTCAGCATGACGTCCCAGAGTACTTTTCCTCCCCACCAAAGTGGTACCTATTTATCTACTTGCATTTGCATGCTCTTGAATATGGAGTGAGGATGGGAACTCACTCCATCACGTAGCGCTGGGTCTCGAACCTGAGTTGGCAGCTCTTTAATTGACAAGCCCAGAGTCTTAATCACTGAGCCACTGCCCCGCCCCCCCAAAACCAGCTGGAAAGGCTAATGGATAATTGCAACAGCTACCTTATTGTACCTACAAACAGAACAGGATCTTGCGGGATGATGGACAGCTTTGAACGTAAGGATTTCAGGCTAATATTGGAGTAGTCAATGCCATCGATGATGATCGTGCCAGATGTTGGTTCCACGAGTCGAAACAGAGCAGCTCCTAAAGAGGACTTTCCTGCAAGATTTGAACAATGCCAACATGGGTCCTTTTTAAATGAGCTTTTCCATCCTTTTTTTTAAAAAAAATATGCCAGGCCAAGGATGCCAACATCCGAGGGCCAAGAAATATTTTTCTGGAAATCTAGGATTTCCAGAAAGAGAAAGAGAATTTATGCTGCTCTTTAGATTTTACACCAGTGTCCCAAAAGTCTCAGTGCAGGTTTAAGCTTTCAAAGCTTCATGTTTTAGTGCAGTGTTGAGTTTTTGAAGCTTTAAAAAATGGCACTAAAAACCTTCTGGGACACTCTGTGTTGCTAGGATTAGAAAGTGTAAATTGGATGTGGTGAAATATTTGATTAAACAACCTCCCGATCTTAAAACAGGCTGTGTCCAACCTCAGAACGGATCTGTGTCTATCACAGGGGACTGAGATTGGAGTCCCCTGGTCTTTTCAAGGCTGGATTATTCAGTGATGAATTTTTTTTGCAGATCTCTTATATGGCAAGGTGGCCTTGAGGAAACTCACATTCTTCTGGAAGGTGATAAGAGACCATTTTTCATCTGTCATCAGGAGTGTTTTTTTTTCTTGAGGAGGGAATCCATTTTTCTACTTCTGCATATGCCAGGATGCGTTGACCCAAACTCTCTTCCCTCTTTATTTTTTCAGGGGCCTCCAACCATGGCAACTTGAAGAATTGTGGACTTCAAGTCCCGGGATTCTGATTGGGTAATTCCAGGAGCTGAAATCCACAAGTCTTAAAATTGCCAAGTTTGGAGATCCCTGGACTCAAACTACAGCAAGAGCACAGAATAAATCATTAGCAGAAGAGTAAATCCTACATATTTGAGTAAATCCTAAAGAAACAAGCATTTCATTATCTGTACAACTTACAAAGCAATCGACAGAGTAGATTATACCTGAACCTGTCCGGCCAATGATCCCAATTTTTTCTTTAGCGTGAATGTGGATGTTGATGTCATGGAGTACAATGGGACTATTTTCTCGGTATTTCATCTGATAGTTCTTAAAAATGATTTCCCCTTGATCGGGCCAGCCTGGAGGAGGGGTGATCACTGAAGGAGTCTCTGATCCCTCAGGAGTGCATTTCTGAAGGAAACAAAGAAAGAGCATCTGGAATCCATATCTGTCAGCCTTTTGGGGTAGACCAGATATGAATACTATTCCTACTTTTATTATCACTTATATCTTTTATGTACACTGAGAGCTTATGCACCGAAGACAAATTCCTTGTGTGTCCAATCACACTTGGCCAATAAAAGATTCTATTCTATTCTATTCTATTCTATTCTATTCTATTCTATTCTATTCTATTCTATTCTATTCTATTCTATTCTATTCTATTCTATTCTATCCTATCCTATCCTATCCTATCCTATCCTATCCTATCCTATCCTTTCCTATCCTATCCTATCCTATTTTCTATCCTATCCTGTCCTGTCCTGTCCTGTCCTGTCCTGTCCTGTCCTATCCTATCCTATCCTATCCTATCCTATCCTATTTTCTATCCTATCCTATCCTATCCTGTCCTGTCCTGTCCTGTCCTGTCCTGTCCTATCCTATCCTATCCTATCCTATCCTATCCTATCCTATCCTATCCTATCCTATTTTCTATCCTATCCTATCCTATCCTATCCTGTCCTGTCCTGTCCTGTCCTGTCCTGTCCTATCCTATCCTATCCTATCCTATCCTATTTTCTATCCTATCCTATCCTGTCCTGTCCTGTCCTGTCCTAAGGTTACCATAACAGAATACAGGTAGTCCTTGATTTACAACAGTTTGTTTAGTTCAAAGTTACAATGGCACTGAAATGTGTGACTTATGGCCGTTTTTCATAATTATGACCATGGCAGCAGCCACCTGGTCACATGATCCAAATTCAGATGCTTGGGAACTGACTTAGAATGTCCCGGGGGTCATGTGATCAGCTTTATTTGGCAACCTTCTGACAAGCAAAGTCAATGGGGAAGCCAGATTCACTTAACAACCCGGTTACTAACTTATCAACTTGCAGTGATTCACTTAACAACGGTGGCAAGGCAAGTCATAACCTGGGGCAAAACTCACTTAACAAAGGTCTCCCTTAGCAACCTAAATTTTGGGCTCAATTATGGCCGTAAGTTAAGTATTGCAAATCTGAATGCATGTCCTCCCTCTTTTCCTTTAGAGAAGTAGGGAAGATCAAAAATAAGATGCTTTCTTAATTTACATTTCTGCTTTCAACTCAAATTTATTTTGTTTGACCGATTTCTTATTTGGACCTTTTTTTCCATCTGTTTCTCAAGTTTATTGCTACTTCCTGTTAGGGTATCCTAGTAACTTTAGTTAGAGATTGGAATTTCCAGAAGTTGAACATTTTCATAATTTGAGGCTCAAGTGAAGCTCATACAATTTGTTGTTATTTATGGCATTGTTCCAAGAGACATTTTAAAAATAAAATTGGGGGAATGAATTCATGAAAAAGAACCACACATACACACCCAAAAAATAAACCAGATCTCTTTCACCTATTATTTAAAACAAAAGTTTTGTGTCATTATAGCAGTGGATACTTGACATCTGAGTCACTTTCAGTTAAAAGAAGAAATAGAAAATTAGATTTATCAACTAGTAAATGCCAACTCGATACTGTATTTACACCAGCATTTCAACCATGTCAACAACTTCTATCGATTTATGCCTTCATGTTCTGGCTTTCTGCAAATATTATTTTTTGTGTTTGGGGTGCATGAAAAACAAAATGGAAATCTCAGCATTCATTCCTCTGATGGTAAGAACCTTTCTTACCACAATGTATTCTCTTATCTGCTCCACCGAAGTAAATCTGCCTTGAACTTCGATGCACGATCTCACGCATATTTGAAGAAGTCCACTTAGCTAGAAAAAACAATGGGGAACGTGAGAAGACAGGGAACTGTATGGAAAGATCTTTCGAAGGGAAAGATCCAATCAGTTCCAGCATCAGAGGTGGTATTCAGCCGGTTCGCAACGGTTCGCGCAAATCATTGGCAGAAATTTGGCCAAGGTCACCAAACCGGTAGCGATGGCCGGTTGGCCATGCCCCTGAACTGGTTCCCCAGTCGCGCTCATTCATCCCGTGCGCCATGTTCATCACCATCATGTTCTTCGCGCACACGCATCCCATTGCCTTGCAAGTCCAATGGGATGCTCATGCGCGAAGAACATGGCGGTGACGGCAGCAGCTTTTTCCGTGACTTCTGGTACTTTTTGGCAGCCTATGGCCAGAGGCTGGGAGATTTCTTTTCCAACCGCTTTTCAGCAGTGGCGGTTGGCTGGGGGGGCCACCGAAAAGGAGGGGAAACGGGGGCGACTGGTGAAGGGAGGACGGGGTTAGATAGGTGGAAATTCCAAAATTTTTCCTATCTTTTCCTGTGGGCGTGGCTTGGTGGGAGGGTCATGTGACTGAGTGGCCATCGGCATGACATCAAGTTGGCCATGCCCACTCAGTCACATGCCCCGCCACCTAGCCACGCCCACCGAACCGGTAGCGAAAAATTTTGAAACCCACCACTGTCCAGCACAGTTCCATAGGCATCTGGTACAAGCAAACGACAGAACTGCACGGCTGTCTTAACAGTATTATGGGCCCCGGGCAAAGCCGTGTACTGGGGCCTCTACGGCAACTACTCACAGGAATAAAAATGTAAATGGTTGATAAAATTAAACCTATATTTATTTTATTGGCACTTCCGACAAAACCAGTGTTGAAACATTAAAAACATGCTGCGCAGCAGCAACTAATCAACATGATCAACATTGGAACAATACACGAGGCTTGAAAAACACAATAATACTCAGTAAGCCATACAGTTGCTGTATTTATATGATACAAGGTGCATTGAAGGGTTCACATACACAGATTAGTATGGGGCCACTATGCTCGTGGGGCCCACGGGTAAGTGCCCATTAGGCGTTAAGACAGCCCTGCTTTACTGTAGACTTGCATGAATAGGCAGCATATGTATGTGGCCTCAATAAATAAATCAGGAATGAATTTAAAAGGAGATTAGAGAAATCCACGAAGGATATAAGCCCCTTGGTAGTTACCACTCAAAAAATCCCATTTCACAAGCTGGAAATCTCTTGACTCCTATTGTGGGCGAACAGTAGACAGGATGCTGCTGTACACATCTCCTGTTTAAGAAATTCTGACCACTATTATGAGGCCAGAATATTAGATAAATGCAAATCCGATCCAACATGGAGCTTCTCGTCTTCTGAAATTCATGTGAATGTGATTTGGGATTTCCTTTCTGGAAATGTGCTGGAAGGAGAGATCAACTCATTGATGGGGTAGATCAATTATTAAAATTAGGATTAAAATTGCATGAAAAAATGTTCAGCTAGTCCTCGAGTTACTTACAACCACAATTGAGCCCCAAGTTTATGTTGCTAAGTGAAACATTTGCTAAGGGAGTTTTGCCCCATTTTACGACTTTTCTTGCCAAGGTTGTTAAGCGAATCATCACATTTGTTAACTTAGGAAGGCGGTTCTTAAGTGAATCTGACTTCCCCATTGACTGCGCTTGTCAGAAGGTCAGACGGGCACTGCACCCATCATAAATACGAATCGGTCTCCAAGCCTTTGAATTTTAATCCGGTCACCATGCAGGGATGTTGCAACGGTGGTCGTAAGTGTGAAAAAACGGTCATCAAGTCACTTTTTTCAGTGCCGCCGTAACTTTGAACGGTGACTAAATGAACAGTTGTAAGTGGGGTGGTGGTGGCTACCTTTACGGTTGTAATTTTTATTGTCCTTAAAATTGGATTCATGCAAGCAAAATACCTTTTAAGAAATGGCAGCTCACCTGTGGCAAATCTTTTGCTTAGTCCATTTGCATTGTTGAGCATCATTCGTATGTTGCTCGATGCCTGGTTGGCCCTACTCTTGGGCCACAACTGGACGAACCCACGATATCAAAGGACAGAGCAGGTTCCCCCAAATAAAAGATAAAGGTTTCCAAAACTCACAGGAGGAAAGTAAAGTGATAGGTGGGACCATGTTCTACCAGAGGGGTGGGCAATATGTCAGACTTACAGGAGTTTAAAACTTTTTTTGGTTTGTGTGTTTGTGTCTGTTATTTTTAATTGGTATCCTGAGACCCACCATATCGAGAAAACTGCAGAAGGCTTTGCTCCATGGATGTTTTAACAATCCGCTTTGGGGGCTGCAGCGTGCATTCGAAAAACGAGATGAATTTAGGATGGAAAAATTCCATATCTAGGAATTTGCTTCGAAGTTCAATACAAAAATACAATGCCATTTCCTTCTCCTGAAGCTTTTTTTTAAAAAATCATTTCAGGCCTATTCCTTATGGAAGGAGGTACACTGGTAGTCGTTAACTTATAACCATAATTGAACCCAAAATTTATGTTGCTGAGACATTTGTTAAGTGAGTCACATAGTCCCCATGACTACGATTCGTGTGCTCGGCAATTGGCATGTGTTTACAAGAGTTGTAGTATCCTGGGGTCACATGACCGCTATTTGTGACCTTTCCAGATGCCTTGTGACAAACAAAGTCCTTAAGTGTTGGAACTCATTGTTGGAATGTATTGCTATGCAACAACTAGAGTAGTATTCAGCCAGTAGATGGCAGCATTTACAAGTTTGGCTCTATGGTAGGTATTTTATTCTCTTTTGTTCTAAGTAGATTTTCCTGTTTCCTGTTACGGTAAAACAGTTGAGCAGTAAAGCACATGGTGACTGTACTTTTTGTTTGCTCTGTGATGCTGTATATACAAAGAATTTCTGACAATAAGGGAAGCTGTATTTGCTTACCTAATGTGGCAACAAAGGTTGTAAAATCGGGCATGACTCACTTAATGACTACATCGCTTAGCAATGGAACTTCTGGTCCCAACTGTGGTTGTAAGTCAAGAACAGCCTGCAGTTACAAATATCTCTCTCCTTCTCTCTCTCTCTCTCTCTCTCTCTCTCTCTCTCTCTCTCTCCCTCCCTCCCTCCCTCCCTCCCTCCCTCTCTCTGTCTCTCTGCATGTGTGTATGTATGTTTGTGTGCCTGTATATTCTCACTCTCCTGAACTTGTTGGAAGATGAGAGAGATAGATGCAGGAGATGATCAGGCTGACGCTGTGGGATGGGTCAAACACATCATAAGTCAAGAGTCCTTTCATGCCCACAAGAGATCTAAATCCAGCCCTCCTTGAATTCCTTGCTATTCTTAACTCCCATGCATTTCCCTTAACGGTCACTTGACCAGATTCTCAAGCTTAAGTTGCAATAAAGCTTTATACTTGTTTGAATTGCCCGAATCTCCTGATTTCCCAGGCGCTTGACAATATCCATTCACATGTTGTAAACCCATTCTTTTTATGTTATTAATGTCACGCCAGTCAAGATCCAGTCTACACTCGGAAAACAGAAGGTTGAGTTACTTGAAGATCCTGTCCACCAAGTTTTTACCTGGAGAGAATAAGATAGAGCCAAGCCTTTTTCTGCAGTACTGATAGAAGAATGGCTGAGGACCACACACAGGGCTACAATCAACGTCATGAAGTTCATGAGAATATCTGTCCTCAATGCAAACCATCGTAGTGCATAGTTAAACATAAGGAAATGGTTTGAGTTTTCGTTATTCAAGATCGTAAAACTGAAACAAAAGTAAGAATGAGTTGTTCAATAGTTGTCTTGGATTGATAGAAGCCAATATTTGTAGCTCAGGGTTGAACTTGGTGCTCTCTGAGCTTGGTGGTTTTCTTACAGATGTTTTACGACCAAACTATGTAACATCATCAATGATAGAAGGGAGTGGGATTTGCTCTCTTTATATAAGTGGCTTGCCCAATCAGTGATGGTGGTAGTGTCCTTGGTAGTTCCTTGATATTCTTGCTGGTTCCTTCTTCCACCAAGAACACTCTCACCAACACTGGTAGGAGGCAGGTGAGAAACCTTAAGAGTTGACATCTCCAGCAGGCTGGTGCTGAACTACACAAATTAGCAGTCAGGAGGAAGGAAGGAAATGAAGGAGGAAATGAAGAAGATGGAGGGGGAGGAGATGAAGAAGATGGAGGAGGAGGAGAAAGAGGAGAAGGAGGAGAAAGAGGAGAAGATGGAGGAGGAGGAGGAGAAGATGGAGAAGATGGAGAAGGGAGGAAGAGAAAGAGGAGGAGGCAGAGAAAGATGAAAAGATGAAGAGGATGGAGGAAGAAGAGGAGGAGGAGGAGGAGAAATGGAGAAGATGAAGGAGATGGTGGAGGACGAGAAAGAGGACGAGAAAGAGGAGAAGATGAAGATGAAGGAGATGGAGGAGATGAAGAAGATGGAGGAGGAAGAGAAAGAGGAGGAGGAAGAGAAAGAGGAGGAGGAGAAATGAACCTTTACTGAGGCACATGCACAAAATGAGTGTTATGTCAGGGCTTTATCTCCCTTCTAGCTATCACCTCTTTTCCTTTCTCTTTTATAGAGAGGCCAAATAACCATACAGTAGTATTAGAAATAAGAAATTCTTCCTTCTGTAGATATTATCTGCTTTCTTTCTGGGCAGTGATGAGAATTGGGACTACCTTGACGGTAAGGGAGATCCTGCCAAGATCTCCCTTTGAAAAACTACAACTGCAGGAGCATGTTCACGTCATGCCATGAATATTCATGCCAGCCACGGTGGAGACTGCAGCTTGAACGATAGGAAGGTCTATCCAAGAAGCTACCCACTTCGGTTGAATAAGATGGTAGTCAATTAACCAAAACCAAAAACAAAGATATTAGGGTCTGCATCCTTGGGCAGGGTGGAGAAGGTGGGGTGCTTTTCTCCTCTCCCTCTTCCTTCTTTTAATGTGAGCTGCTTATTCTTTTCTCACGAAAGGGAGAGGCTTCAGAAGGCCACTACTCTCTCAAGGACCCCTTGGTAGTCGGATCGCACAACCTTCCCTACATCAGGTCTCTAGTTTCCACGGCAGGACTTGCAAAACATGCTTAACTTAGTTGCTCAATGAACAACACATGTTCTGATTCAAAGTCACAACGTCCCGATAAAGCTCGGCAGTCATGAAGTTTAATATACTGTGGTGGCCAAAATTGTGGAAACCTTTTGGGGAAAGTGTTATTTTCTAAAGCTAGCTAATAACACCATTATTTTTTGGGGGGGAGTAGTATCATAAAATTATGTATCAATGGAAAGATAATTTAATCAATAATGTAATGCAATAACTTTTATGAAGGATTTGCTATTAGAATAGCAGTTACAGTATAAAGAAGAAAAGTGAAACAGGTAGACATACAAAAATTATCACCATAGAAAAAACGAGATATACAAAAATGATCACCATGTCAGTTAATACTTCGTTAGGTAATCTTTAGCATGAATTACGGCCTTACAATGTCTTCCCATGGAGTGAACCAAGTCTTTTAGTTCTGCATCTGTTATAATGTGAAACCAAGATTGAAGGATTGCTTCTATTAACTGGGTTTTATTGCTGGGTCGCTTCTGACTAATAAGTTTCTTGAGTCGGCTCCAAAGATTTTTAATTGGGTGAAGGTCTGGACTATTCCCAGGCCATTCCAGCAGTGGAATAGGATTATCTTGAAACTCCAAAAAAAAAAAAAAAGTGGTGTTATTGGCCATCAAACCTCAAAAATAGACTTTTCCCAAAAGATTTCCATGATTTTGGCCACTACTACTGTATCGATGGAAGAGAATATTTGTAGCTCAGGGTTGAACCGTGGGATCCTCGTAAATATGTTTTATGTGACTTTATAGGTTTTTAAGTGACCCATTAGATTTGTGAGATGAACTTATTGCACAAACTATTTGTAAGCTTTTGTCAGCCCTTTAAGGTAGTCTAGACAAGAAGTACCTATCAGTGGTGGGATTCAAATTTTTTTACGACCGGTCTGTGGGCATGGTTTGGTGGGCATGGCAGGGGAAGGATACTGCAAAATCTCCATTCTCACCCCACTCCAGGGGAAGGATACTGTAAACTCTCCATTCTCACCCCACCCCACTAACCTGCTTTCCAGCTCCGTTCTCCTGTGCAGGGCAACAAAAGAAGACCCAGCCAATCAGCTGGGACTCGATCAGCTGGGACTCGGGAGGCAGCGAATAGATCGGGGCGGGGCCAGCCAGAGGTGGTATTTGCCGGTTCTCCAAACTACTCAAAACTTTCGCTACCGCTTTTCCAGAACCAGTCAGAACCAGCTGAATACCACCTCTGGTACCTACCATAAGTACTAACACTATCTTTAGTGCAAGGTTACAGTAACATGTCTTGAAAGCATTTTCCCCCCTTCTTTAATTTCACTGTCTTGAAAACTAGGGAGGGTGTCTTCTGAGATCTTTTCTCCACCCCAGTCCCAGCTCAAGTGCTGCTTATCTGACCATTTTCAGACTCCTGTCTCCAAGTTCATTCTTATGTACCATTATACCTCTCTTAGAGAAAGAGGGCTAAAGCCATTTTCCCCGCCGATCTATCGCTAAAGTGCTATGAAGCTTGTCCACATTACTGTTATTTTGGCCAATGATGGTTGGATGACCCTAGAAGAAGCTATAGATTGAATAGTGGGAAAACAATCCAAATCCCTCCATTCTACTGGCTTGGAAAAGGCACCCTATCCTCCCACTGAGTTACTGGTTAGAGGTTTTTTCACCGAGCCTCAGATTCTGCCAGAAACAGGCAGAAGACTCAAAAGTTGAATTCCTTTGCTTTAGAAACCAGATCTTAAGAATAGTTTAATGGTTGCAGAGGAATATAAAGTGCTCTCGTGGGGGTCGTATACGGCTGCACTTAGAGACAATCCCGAGAATCCATAGGGCAATCAGAGAGCTTCCCAGCAGCTCAGCATTTTCTGCAAATGGAAAAACCCCTGGATATCTCCCACTTAGGTAGCACAATAGGCAGAGGGGCTTCATCAATTTCGCGGCAGGCACAAGATCGGTGCTCAGGTGGAAAACAGTGAAACAGCCGTACTTAAGAATGGAGAGATGGGTAGTGAAAAAAAAGAAGAAAAAACAACAACAACAACAGCGTGATTTGGGCCCAGGCGGGAAACTTACTGTTTTATGTAGTCCTCTGTCTTGTTGAAGGCACGGATCGTACTAAGACCATGGATTGAAGATGTGATTAAGCAGAGCCACAGAGATCTACTGAGGTTCTCAATTCGTTTGAGGTCTTGGATGGTGTTCTGAAAAATACTGTGATGGAATGCAGGTATGTCGTGCGCAATCATATGCCTGTGTCTGTCTGTCTGTCTATCTGTCTGTCTCTCTATCTCTCTAATCTCTCTATCTATCTATCTATCTATCTATCTATCTATCTATCTATCTATATCAGTGGTTCTCAACCTGTGGGTCGGGACCCCTTTGGGGGTCGAATGACCCTTTCACAGGGGTCGCCTAAGACAATCGGAAAACACATATTTTCAATGGTCTTAGGAATAATTTTATGGTTGGGGGTCACCACAATATGAGGAACTGTATTAAAGGGTCGCAGCATTAGGAAGGTTGAGAACCACTGATCTCTCTCTCTCTCTCTCTCTCTCTCTCTCTCTCTCCCTCCCTCCCTCCCTCCCTCCCTCTCTCTCTCTCCTAATCTATTTATCTATCTATCTAATCTATCTGTCTATCTAATCTATCTATCTATCTATCTATCTATCTATCTATCTATCTAATCTATCTATTTATCTCTATCTATCTATCTATCTATCTATCTATCTATCTACCTATCTCATCTGTTATATGATCATATGAGCCACGGTGACGCAGTGGTTAGAGTGCAGTACTGCAGGCTACTTCTGCTGCCTGCCGGCTGCCTGCAATTTGGCAGTTCAAATCTCACCAGGCTCAAGGTTGACTCAGCCTTCCATTCCTTCCTTCCAAGGTCAGTAAAATGAGGACCCAGATTTCTGGGGGCAACAGGCTGACTCTGTAAACCACTTAGAGAGGGGCTGGGTCAGCCCTGGAGGCCATCTTTTACTTTGGATCTTCAGGGCTGCCACGCTTGGTGGATGGGCGTGCTGTTTACAGTGTAAAGCACTGTAAAGTGGTATATAAGTCTAAGGGCGGCTGCTGTCAATCATCTATTTATAAAAATGTATTGGCCAAGCCCATGCAGAACATTCCACTTACTGGAAGAGCAGAATGAAAATGATCGTTAGGGCCGCCATGCTGATGAGGAGGTAAGGAAAGACAACGGTGACAATTGTAAAGATGGCCAGGAGTCCGAAAAACTGCAGCAGGAAGCTCTCGAGGTAAAACGGCAATCGCGTGTCCACTTCGTCCATATCCTTAGAGAAACGGTTTATGATTCTGCCGGTGGGGTTGGTATCAAAGAAATTCATTGGACTCTTCAAGATCTGTAGATAAGTAGGGAAGATGTTGTGGGGGGGTGGAAGAAGAGAGAGCACTACAATATGCAACAAACAACGTAGAACGGCAATAACAACGCCACGAGATAATAGATAAGCCTTTTGTAGCGCTCAGTTTTTGGATGGCAGAAATAGGCAGGTTTCACCTAAGCTTCAGCATCAATGCAAAACAGGGACTTCTCTTCTTTTCCCCCCTAATAACTAAGGTAAAGGTAAATGTTCCCCTCGCACATAGGTGTTAGTCGTTCCCGACTCTAGGGGGTGGTGCTCATCTCTGTTTCAAAGCCGAAGAGCCAGTGCTGTCCGAAGACGTCTCCGTGGTCATGTGGTTGGCATGACTAAATGCCAAAGGCGCAAGGAACGCTGTTACCTTCCCACCAAAGGTGGTCCCTATTTTTCTACTTGCATTTTTTACATGCTTTCAAACTGCTAGGTTGGCAGAAGCTGGGACAAGTAACGGGAGCTCACCCCGTTACACGGTGCTAAGGATTCAAACCGCTGAACTGCCGACCTTTTGATCGACAAGCTCAGCGTCTTAGCCACTGAGCCACTGCGTCCCTATAAAAGGCACTGTGTCCCTTTACCTAATGACTAGAAAATATTTTAAAGGCTGTTTTATGAAGGAGCAAAGAAGAGAGAGTGGTTGGACTCATTTCTAATAACATGTGTTTGGAGAAAGAGTTCGTAATCAATAAAAATTACCATCCTAGAACTGCAGCGGTAGAAATTAAAGCCTTCTGCTAGAAATGGGATTTAATTTTTTTTTTGCAGAATCGTAATATCTGTTTTAGCTAAGTGCAAAATAATAAAACAACGTTGTTGGGTTCTCATAAAATATGGCACTCTAGTTCATCTGCTCTTCACTGATTTATGCTAGTCTTCCTTGGCCAAGGTGACCTACAGGTTAGAGGACTTCACTTCCCAGAATTCTTACTTATATTTAAGCGGGTCGGGAAATTCTGGGAGATGAAGTTTATGTAACTAGAAAGGGGAAGGCACTTAACAGATGGCTGAGCTCAATCAACCCAGTCTGCAAAACCAGCCATAATTTGGGCAGAACATTCCAACCAGATCCTTTGCTGGAAAGCAATGTCCAACAGAGAATTTAATTGACTTGGAAGAAAACTACTTTCCAGTAACAGATTGTTAGCTGTAAGCGGATTCAGGCCACAAACCTTTCCTGAAACTTTTATTTCCTGCATCTCTGAAATTCATCAAGAAGTTATAGCCTTTTCTAAGCTTTAGTTTTATTTTAGTTTTAGTTTAGTTTTTAAAATTGGATCGATGGGCATGAGAGATTTCTATAGAAATGCTCTTTTGGCCTTGAGGAAAAATCCAGATCTGACCTCCTTGTCTATGGTGAATTCCATGTCTGTCTGTCTGTCTGTCTATCATATCTATCTATCCATCCATCCATCCATCCATCCATCCATCCATCCATCCATCTTTTATCTGTCTATCATCTATCTGCCTATATATATATATGGAACCACAATGATGGTTAACCAAAGTTTAATGATACCTTGTAAAACATGGTGTTATGGAGGTTGGAGGCAGCTCGTAAGGTCAACTTAGTGAAACCATAACCTTTGATGAAACTCAGGATAATCATGGCAATCACACCCATCCCGAAGACCAGCTGGTAGAAGTGAAGCTGAGGATTGTTGGTGATGCTGCCTTTGTCGCAGGTTCTGTTTTGAGGCTGGTTACAGATCATGTTCTAAAGAACAGATTTGAAGAAAAAAAAAAAGAAGAGAAGCATTTCCTTCTTTCTTAAATAGGAGACAGGGGGAAAAGGAGCATCAGTTATATAAAAGGAGCATTGGTAGTACAATGGTCTAAAGCACCCTGTTATTAAGACCAGCTGCCTGCAATTATTGCAGGTTCGAATCTCGCCAAGGCTCAAGGTTGACTCAGCCTTCCATCCTTTCTAAGGTAGGTGAAATGAGGACCCAGTTTGTGGGGGCAATAAGCTGACTTTGTATAAATATACAAAAGGATGAAGGCTATTGCTGAGCACATTGTAAGCCGCCCTGAGTCTCCGGAGAAGGGCGGCACATAAATCAAATTAAAAAAAAAAAATCTCCTCCTGTGCACATATGAGAAGAGCTGCCAGAAGGCAAGAGCAGATAAAGCAAAAAGGACGACTCGGGAGTAGGGCCAAGAGATGATTGGCCCCTCCCATAAGGCTTAAAAGACCAGCAACGGCTCTTGGGCTCTTTGTCGGAAAACAACGTTGATAGACTAGTTCTTGTCTTGCTGCACTTATCTCTGGTCGGCGTCTTCTGCTTTTGAACTTGTGCCAAGAGAAGCCTTTGGCAGTTTGCCTAATTATACCAAGGTTGGTGATTAGACTGAAGAATTTGTGTTAGGAAGAATTTGTTTTAAATTTAGTTTGGACTACACTGAGAATGAGTTAATTCTCAGCTGTTCTAATAAAGTCTATTTGTTTTGGAACTGTTTGCATCTAATACTACCTACTTGGGCCTGAGTCACAACACATTGTCTCTTCTTGGCCATGTCTTTGCCTCTGGGTTTTTTGTCCAAAAAAAAAAACGCAGAGGTAGAGGAAAGTTTGTGGAAAGGGAATATTGTCCAAATGAAACTTCATGAAGTCTTACTTTACTTTTTTTTTTTTTTGCCAGCCCAGGTTCTTGTGCGAAACAGACAAATAACCTATTAGACTACCAGAGTCCATAGGTCTCAGAAGGATAGCAGGCTCTTAAAAAAAGCTACATGGATCAAAGTTTAGATAGAAAGATTTCAAAGTGTATCAGAACTATTTGTCATCCTGCTGAGCTGTTGCTGTGAAATGTGATTTTGCAAAGTACGTAGTTTTGAGATAGGTTTGGAATCAGAACGTTGACACTGTGAGAAATAGGGAACTGAAAGTAGCCGATGGATTAGAGCAGTGGTCCCCAACCCCCGGTCCGCGGACCGGTGCCGGGCCGTGGAGTACCTGGCACCGGGCCGCGCAGCGGCCGGGGGACAGGAACGCTTCAGCGCAAAGGCTCCTGGGCCGTGCGCAATGGGCCTGCGCAAAAGCTCCTGGGCCGTGCGCAATGGGCCTGCGCAAAGGCTCCTGGGCCGTGGCCCTACCCCTGCGCGCGCTCAGCGGGCCGCGGCGATAAAAAGGTTGGGGACCACTGGATTAGAGGTTTGAGACGCACATGGGTGTTTGCAGAGAGTGACAGTCAGTAAGAATGTCAGAAAGAACAAGGAAGTGAAACGATGGATTGTGTATTGTCAGTAAAAAAGAAGGTATAAGAAATGTGACTTGAGATGGGAATGGTGTCCTTTGCCTGATAGCAGTCCTCGTAGGACCTGCTATGTGTCATGGGACCCCATTGCAATGGTTTAATAATGTAACTTTTGTTGTGAAATTGCATTGCTATCAGTGGTGGGTTTAAAAACTTTTTACTACCGGTTCTGTAGGTGTGGCTTGGTGGGCGTGGCAGGGGAAGGATACTGTAAAATCTCCATTTCCACCCCACTCCAGGGGAAGGTTACTGCAAAATCTCAATTTCCTCCAGATCAGCTGGGACTTGGGAGGCAGAGAATAGATGAGGGAGAGGCCACTCAGAATTTTTAGTACCAGTTCTCCAAACTACTCAAAAAGTCCGCTACCAGTTCTCCAGAACTGGTCAGAACCTGCTGAAACCCACCTCTGATTGCTATGTTGACTGTTCATGTTCCAAATTGCTTATGAAATAAACCTCTGAATCTTAAAGTAAGATTTATTGCTTGTGGTTTTGTCTTTGGTTTTTTATTGGGATGTTTTTATAACACTCTGCGTGTACAGGAGGACATAAACCAGGGATGGGAATTCTGGCAGTTGGAGTCCATAAGTCTTTAAGTTATCAAAGTGGGACACCCCCGACATAAACGGAATGACATTTTGGTGCCAAATGGCACTTACTTACCCCGGATCCTTGGTTTAGCCAGAAACTCAACCACCAGTTGCTGAAGATTGAGCTGGCAGTCATCAAAACAAAGAGAAGAATGATGACAAACCACAATAGGAAACCTAGGGGGGAATGTAGACACAGGATGTTAAACCATGCTGCATTCCTGAGGATATGAAGGCTGACTTCACACAACCACTGAACCAGTTACGGTGAAGAGCTAGCGGCTGAATTTGCATAACCTGCCGTAAAAAGTCAGCACCCACTCACCCCTCCTAGAAGAATGAAATATTTTAGGAAATATTAAAAAGGCAGAATATTTCCCCTAAAAGAGAAATAGAAATTTTAAGGGATACAGAACTCAGAGCTTCAGCTCCTTGCCCCAGCAGATATCTGGTGCCCGTTGAGAAGGACTGGGCCAGCCTGTCTACAAAACAAAAGACCTTCAACTCCAAGGTGATGGGATTAAGACATGACCCCTCAGGACATAATAGGATTAGCCCTCTACCCATCCAACAGCAGGGCTCACTGCATTTCAAAATTTCCTAAGGACATTGCATCATCTCAGAATCCAATCAAACTTAATTCAGACAACTTAAAAAGTTAGCTACGACCTGCATAGCTGCATAGCCCCCTGGGAGTCTGACAACCAATAGAATGCATATCTTGCACAGGAACAGGAAGCTCAAGGGCAAGGCCCGAGAGAGGGTATAAATACCTCTTACTCGCTCCTCCATGTGTTCAGCTGCCCAGGACCTCAAAACCCATGTGGTCCTGTCCATCAATAAACCATCTTTCCAATCAACCTCCATGTTTCCAGTGTCTTTCCCCTCACTTGGAACTGAACCAGGTGGATTTTTCTTCCAACAATGCTAAACTTATTTACCAGCAACAAATGCATTTCAGAAATTGTGCAACCGGTTATGGCGTGTACCTCCAGATGCCTTGATATAAGTATGGTAGGTTTCCCATTTGATCCAACCTTCTGCCTTCACCTCTTTTTGAATCAGCTGAACTTCAGGAGCTGTGGGAGAAATCATTTTTCAAGCATTTATTCAGACCACAACCTTACCCAGGGATGACAATTCTCATGCATTTCAAGCAAAATTGGACGTCGGTTGAGCCCAGCTCCTCAAATGAACATTTGCAGCTTCGCAAGGGCCTTCACCCCCCCCCCCCCCCCCCCCACTCCTGCCATTCCCCCTGGATGAAGCTGTATGAAAAACGCTCCTTTTGTTTCTCTAATGGCTGTTGAATGAATGGAAGCCCGTGACAAGAATGTAATTCGGAAGGAGATTGATTTACCTGAAGTGATCAATACTGCCAGCAGCTGGGATGCAAAACCCGATTGATTTTCTTATTCTCCTCTTTTGATTGTGAACAAAGGAGAGGCAGGTCAGAAGGAAAACAGCCCCAAGGGGCTGATTTAGCTTGGAGTTTGAACTTTTTTATTTTTTTCATCATTTCCTCTTTCGAACTTTTTAGGCACAGAATTCACCAGGCCTCTCTCTGTGGTCTTTTACTTAATTTTGAATATTTTTTTTTTTTTAAAATGTGGCACTTCCAGAACTTCCATTCAGTTGGGGGAAAGTGTTGTGGCCTGCCAGCAGCCAGCAGAGCTGGCAGTAGATTCGGACAGTGAGGAGGTTGGGGAGGAACGGGGGCCAGTCCTGGAGTCTGGGGCAGGGCTCGGATGAGGACTCTGAGTCAGAGGCAGAGAGAGGTCCAAGGCCATCTGGTAGTTCTTTGCTGCCTCCGGAGTCTCCAGAGTCTGACATCAGTGAGGCAGAAGAACAGTGTGAGCCTGTTCCCAGTGTGCACATGCACAGAGCTACCAGAAGACAGGAACAATTAAGAAAACAGGGTTGACTTGGGAGTAAGGCTTGGAGATGATTGGCCCCTCCCATAAGACATAACAGAGGAGCGAACTGGACGTGAGCTTTTGCAGGAAGCAATTACTGTAGTTTATCTGGTTGGTAAAAGCTTTGGGAAGGTTCTGTTTGACTCTGTGCTAAGTTTGGCCTTGCCCTGCGTGTGGCAATTAGTTCTCTGGCAGCATTCCAAGGGAGATAAAGTGGGTGTTTGTAAACACTCACCTGAAATACTGTTTGAGAAATCTTTCAGACTGGGAATGACAATAATTCACAGCCGTATGAATAAAAGAGGTTTGCCGGGACTAAAATTGTGCTGTATATTTTCTAAGGAAGCCTAGGTCAAAACAGAAAGCATCTCTGGCTTGCCTTTTATTTATATTTGAAGAAATATGATAAGCCTTTCTAGAAGGGCACGGAGTGGTTAAGACTCTGGGCTTGTTGGCCAGAAAGCTGGAAACCCAGGTTTGAGACCTGAGCGACACACACGGGGTGAGCTCCCATCCTCGGTTCACAAAAATTGCAGATGCGAGTAGATAAAGAGGTACCACTTCGGTGGGAAGGTAACAGCATGCTGGCCACATGACCACAGAAATAACTTCATAGCCTTGGGTCAATAGCCTTGAAAAGGAGATGAGCACTGCTCCTATAGTCAGCCACAACTAGTGGAGTCAAACCCAGTCTTTATCTTTAAAGATGATTGGTTTTCTAGCCTATAGAGCATATTCATTGCCTCATAGTATCTCTTTCTTACAATTCCAGAAAACAGCGGAGAAGCTCCATTTAGTTCAATGTTTCTGAAGCTTAGCAACTCCCCGGGTGCTTTTGCACTACAGAGGGGTTGACAGTGAGATCTGGAGGTTTAATCACGCAGGAAGACAAAGTGAAACTTACTTCTGCTTTTTCCTTCTTTAAGGTCTTTCTTAGTCTCTGTATCATCGGTCTTATCAAAACCTTGGGAGATGGAAAGTGAAGAGAGAGTCAAGCTAATACTTGCGAAAAGAAGCATTCTTACTTCACACTGATTTGGCAACATTAATTTCACCTCAGAAGTAATCTTAAAGCAATTATCTAAGGGAGCCTGGGTGCTTCTGCACTACAGAGTGGTTGACACTGAGATCTGGGGGTTTAATCACGCAGGCAGAGGAAAAGTGAAACTTACTTCTGCTTCTTCCTTCTTTAGGTCTTTTTTAGTCTCTGTATCATCAGGCTTATCAAAACCTTGGGAGATGGAAAGTGAAGGGAGAGTCAAGCTAATACTTCGAAAAGAAGCATTCTTATTTCTCACTGACTTGGCAACAATAATTTCACCTCAAAAGTAAACTTGAAGCAATTATCTAAGGAGCCTGGGTGCTTTTGCATTACAGAGGGGTTGACACTGAGATCTGGGGGTTTAATCACGCAGGAGGACAAAGTGAAACTTACTTCTGCTTCTTCCTTCTTTAAGGTCTTTCTTAGGCTCTGTATCCTCAGTCTTATCAAAACCTTGGGAGATGAAAAGTGAAGGGTGAGTCAAGCTAACACTTGCGAAAAGAAGCATTCTTACTGACACTGACTTGGCAACATAAATTTCACCTCAAAAGTACCAAGGCCTAACCTTGAAGCAATTATCTAAGGGAGCCTGGGTGCTTTTGCACTACACAGGGGTTGACACTGAGATCTGGGGGTTTAATCACGCAGGAGGACAAAGTGAAACTTACTTCTGCTTTTTCCTTCTTTAAGGTCTTTCTTAGTCTCTGTATCATCAGGCTTATCAAAACCTTGGGAGATGAAAAGTGAAGGGAGAGTCAAACTAATACTTGCGAAAAGACACATTCTTATTTCTCACTGACTTGGCAGCATTAATTTCACCTCAAAAGTAATCTTGAAGCAATTATCTAAGGGAGCCTGGGTTCTTCTGCACTACACAGGGTTGACACTGAGATCTGGGGGTTTAATCACGCAGGAAGACAAAGTAAAACTTACTTCTGCTTTTTCCTTCTTTAAGGTCTTTCTTAGGCTCTGTATCCTCTGTCTTATCAAAACCTTGGGAGATGGAAAGTGAAGGGAGAGTCAAACTAATACTTGCGAAAAGAGATTCTTACTTCACACTGACTTGGCAGCATTAATTTCACCTCAAAATTACCAAGGCCTAACCTTGAAGCAATTATCTAAGAAAGCCTGGGTGGTCTTGCACGACACAGGAGTTGACACTGAGATCTGGGGGTTTAATCACGCAGGAGACAAAGTGAAACTTACTTCTGCTTTTTCCTTCTTTAAGGTCTTTCTTAGTCTCTGTATCATCAGGCTTATCAAAACCTTGGGAGATGAAAAGTAAAGGGAGAGTCAAACTAATACTTGCGAAAAGAAGCATTCTTACTTCACACTGACTTGGCAGCATTAATTTCACCTCAAAAGTACCAAGGCCTAACCTTGAAGCAATTATCTAAGGGAGCCTGGGTGCTTTTGCATTACAGAGGGGTTGACACTGAGATCTGGGGGTTTAATCACGCAGGAGGACAAAGTGAAACTTACTTCTGCTTCTTCCTTCTTTAAGGTCTTTCTTAGGCTCTGTATCCTCAGTCTTATCAAAACCTTGGGAGATGGAAAGTGAAGGGTGAGTCAAGCTAATACTTGCAAAAAGAAGCATTCTTACTGACACTGACTTGGCAACATAAATTTCACCTCAAAAGTACCAAGGCCTAACCTTGAAGCAATTATCTAAGAAAGCCTGGGTGCTTTTGCACTACACAGGGGTTGACACTGAGATTTCTGGGGGTTTAATCACGCAGGAAGACAAAGTGAAACTTACTTCTTCTTTTTCCTTCTTTAAGGTCTTTCTTAGGCTCTGTATCCTCTGTCTTATCAAAACCTTGGGAGATGGAAAGTGAAGGGAGAGTCAAACTAATACTTGCGAAAAGAGGTATTCTTACTTCACACTGACTTGGCAGCATTAATTTCACCTCAAAAGTACCAAGGCCTAACCTTGAAGTAATTATCTAAGCAAGCCTGGGTGCTTTGCACTACACAGGGGTTGACACTGAGATCTGGGGTTTAAATCACGCAGGAAGACAAAGTGAAACTTACTTCTGCTTTTTCCTTCTTTAAGGTCTTTCTTAGGCTCTGTATCCTCAGTCTTATCAAAACCTTGGGAGATGGAAAGTGAAGGGAGAGTCAAACTAATACTTGCGAAAAGAGGTATTCTTACTTCACACTGACTTGGCAGCATTAATTTCACCTCAAAAGTAGAAAAGGCCTAACCTTGAAGCAATTATCTAATGAAGCCTGGTGCTTTTGCACTACACAGGGGTTGACACTGAGATCTGGGGTTTAATCACGCAGGAGGAGAAAGTGAAACTTACTTCTGCTTTTTCCTTCTTTAAGGTCTTTCTTAGGCTCTGTATCCTCAGTCTTATCAAAACCTTGGGAGATGGAAAGTGAAGGAGAGTCAAGCTAATATTTCGAAAAGAAGCATTCTTATTTCTCACTGACTTGGCAACAATAATTTCACCTCAAAAGTAAACTTGAAGCAATTATCTAAGGAGCCTGGGTGCTTTTGCATTACAGAGGGGTTGACATTGAGATCTGGGGGTTTAATCATGCAGGAAGACAAAGTGAAACTTACTTCTGCTTTTTCCTTCTTTAAGGTCTTTCTTAGTCTCTGTATCATCAGGCTGATCAAAACCTTGGGAGATGAAAAGTGAAGGGTGAGTCAAGCTAATACTTGTGGAAAAAAGCATTCTTATTTCACACTGACTTGGGAACATTAATTTCACCTCAAAAGTACCAAGGCCTAACCTTGAAGCAATTATCTAAGGGAGCCTGGGTGCTTTTGCACTACACAGGAGTTGACACTGAGATCTGGGGCTTTAATCATGCAAGAAGACAAAGTGAAACTTACTTCTGCTTCTTTCCTTCTTTAAGGTCTTTCTTACATTCTGTATCATCAGGCTTATCAAAACCTTGGGAGATGGAATGTGAAGGGAGAGTCAAGCTAATACTTGCGAAAAGAAGCATTCTTATTCTCACTGACTTGGCAACAATAATTTCACCTCAAAAGTAAACTTGAAGCAATTATCTAAGGAGCCTGGGTGCTTTTGCATTACAGAGGGGTGACACTGAGATCTGGGGGTTTAATCACGCAGGAGGACAAAGTAATAATAGAACAAGACTATAAGGATATGCCTATTTCTAACAATGATAGATTTGAAGATACTTGATAGTATATAATGTATATATGTAATCGCACGATATCTCAGATGTTACCTGAGATTTGATACTTTCTTTTTAAAAAAACCTTGTTTTCAAAACCAGTAAAGTATTTATTAAAAAAAAGAAAAAAAAAGAAACTTACTTCTGCTTTTTCCTTCTTTAAGGTCTTTCTTAGGCTCTGTATCCTCAGTCTTATCAAAACCTTGGGAGATGAAAAGTGAAGGGAGAGTCAAGGTAATACTTGCGAAAAGAGCATTTTTACTTCACACTGACTTGGCAACATAAATTTCACCTCAAAAGTACCAAGGCCTAACCTTGAAGCAATTATCTAAGGGAGCCTAGGGCTTTTGCACTGCACAGGGTTGACACTGAGATCTGGGGGTTTAATCACACAGGAGGAGAAAGTGAAACTTACTTCTGTTTTTTACTTCTTTAAGGTCTTTGTTACTCTCTGTATCATCTGGTTTATCAAAACCTTGGGAGATTAAAAGTGAAGGAGAGTCAAGCTAATACTTGCGAAAAGAGGCATTCTTATTTCTCACTGACTTGGCAACAATAATTTCACCTCAAAAGTAAAAACTTGAAGCAATTATCTAAGGGAGCCTGGGTGCTTTTGCATTACAGAGGGTTGACACTGAGATCTGGGGGTTTAATCATGCAGGAAGACAAAGTGAAACTTACTTCTGCTTTTTTCCTTCTTTAAGGTCTTTCTTAGTCTCTGTTTCATCAGGCTTATCAAAACCTTGGGAGATGAAAAGTGAAGGGTGAGTCAAGCTAATACTTGCGAAAAGAAGCATTCTTATTTCTCACTGACTTGGGAACATTAATTTCACCTCAAAAGTACCAAGGCCTAACCTTGAAGCAATTATCTAAGCAAACCTGGGTGCTTTTGCACTACAGAGGGGTCGACACTGAGAACTGCGGGTTTAATCATGCAAGAAGACAAAGTGAAACTTACTTCTGCTTTTTCCTTCTTCAAGATCTTTCTTAGTCTCTGTATCCTCAGGCTCTGTTGTAGCCTGCTGGCGGCCAGCAGAGCTGGCAGCAGAATCAGACAATGAGGTGGTTGGGGAGGAAGCTGGGGAATGCTCAGACGAATGCTCTGCCTCTGAGGCAGAGAGGGAGCTAGGCAGCAGCGAGGCAGAGGAACATCTGGAGCCCATTCCCAGTGTGTGGATGCGCAGAGCTGCCAGAAGACAAGAACAACTCAGAAAGCAGGGTCGACTCAGGAGTAAAGCCATACCTTGGAGGTGATTGGTCCCTGCCATAGGAAATTAAAGAGGAGCGAACAAGGGAGTGGGAAGCTAATACTTGCGGGAAAAAAGCATTCTTATTTCCACTGACTTGGCAACATTAATTTCACCTAAAAACTACCAAGGTCTAACCTTGAAGCAGATTTCTAAGCAAGCCTGGGTGCTTTTGCACTCCACAGGGGTTGACACTGAGATCTGGGAATTTAATCGTGCAGGAAGACAAAGTGAAACTTACTTCTGCTTGTTCCTTCTTCAAGATCTTTCTTAGTCTCTGTATCATCAGACTCTTCAAAACCTTGGGAGATGAAAAGTGAGGGGAGAGTCAAACTAATACTTGTGATCGTTAAAAATATAAAGAAGGAAAGGAAACAATTTTACCAGGAACTTTCATTTCTGTCGGAGAGATGTCTGAATTGTGATCCTGGATGTCTTTCTTTTTCATTGATTCGTCTGATGATGACGAAAGAAATTGGTTGTCTTCAATCTAAAGTAAACAAAGAATTTTTTATTTGAGAATATAGAAGCCCAGCTAGATCATATACAACATCCTTCTAACCCAGAGGTAAGGAACAATGGCCTCCTTTATGACTTGTGGACTTCAACTCCTAGAATTCCTGAGACAGCAGGGCCATTATTCCCCATGCCTGGTCTAACCCATAGGACACCCCATAAACTTGTCTTGAGGATAACACTTATTTATTCTTGTTTTTCTCCAGCATCTGATACTGGAAGGAACAGTGTCAGTGACCCAAGGAAGTTATTTTAGCTATTGTTTCTAAAAACTATTGATTGTTCTAAGTCCTGACAGTTTTTCCTCATCTGTTAAGAATATATAAATATCCTGGTGTGTTCAACCCCAAGTCAGTTTAGTCCAACAGCTTGTTACCTACAACATCTAAGCAGACGTCTCCTGGAAGCCTACAAGCACAACACGATACAGATATTCCTCGACTTGCAGTCCTCAACCTATGACCATAATTGAGTTCAAGATTTCTATTGCTAAGTGAGACATTTGTTAAGTGAGTTTTGTCCCATTTTACGGCCTTTCTTGCCACAGCTGTTAAGTGAATCACTGTGGTTATTAAGTTAGTAACGCAGTTGTGATGTGAATCTGGCTTCCCCATTGACTTTGTTTCTCGGAAGGTCGCAAAAGGGGATCTTGTGACCCCCAGGACAGTGCAACCGTCATAAATATGAACCAGTTGCCAAGCGGCCCCTCCTTAGCCATATCAGATGAGGAGGAGGAGGCATAGGAGTCAGTATCAGCATCAAGGCAACCAGAGAGCTCCAAGGGGCGAGAGGGAATGGAGCTATCAGAGATAGAGACAGAGGTGGAGCCTAGCCCATTCATCAGCCCTCAGATGGAGAGTCAACAGTCCCCAGGTCTGGAGGTGGCTGATGAGGAAGAAAAGGAACAGCTGGGTCCAGTGCCTGACGCAGGGATGCACAGAAGGCAAAGGAGAGGAGAGCAGTGGAAATGTATGGGCCGGTCCTTGTGACGGAAAAGCCACCGCTGCTTTGAAGCCCCACATGAGCACTGGGGATAAAAGATAGGGGATGGAGATGAATAGATGCGGCAGACAACTATTCATCTTCCAGCCAGTCGGACTTGTTAGCTTGCAGTGAGAGAGAAACTTTTTGCCGCTCCTAATAAAGGAATCTTTGAGTTAACTTCAGAGGGTTTGTCATGTTTGGGAACTGAATCAGAACACAAGCATCTGAATTTTGATTGAGTGATCATAGGGAGGCTGCAATGGTCCTAAGTGTGAAAACCGGTCATAAGTCACTTTTTTTCAGCGATGATGTAACTTTGAACTGTCACTAAATGAACTGTTATAAGTCGAGGACTATCTGTAATGTTCTCCAGCCATTGTTTCCACTGCCTTTCTGATTCAGGGGCTACTCCTAAACTATCTTGACCACTGGGCCATAGGTATCATCCATTAGACCTGCACAATGTATAGCCATCCAGATATTGTTAGACTTCACTTCCTATCATACACTGCTATTATCCAAATTAGCTAGGTCTTATGAAAGTGGAGATTCGACAGTAACCGGACCTGCTATTACCTACATTATTGTAATAAACACTTTTTTGCATATGATTATCTCTAAAGCTGTGCCTCTCCGCCTAACCCTCTCTTTCCTTTGTCATCTTCGCAGGCACCAGAAGGCGTTGCCTGGCTCTTGGTGGAGGTTGAGCCACAAACTCTGGTCCTTTTGGCACATGCCTGGAATATAACAATGCACGCAGAAAAAGTATCACAGTATTTCACGTGGTACTGATTGCCTGAGTCACCTCCCCTTTGCTCTCTGCACAGACACTGCTGCTGCTGTACATTTTCTCTTCATCCGTGCAATGCTTCGAAAAGTTTGCGAGGTGAAAATTGCAGTGGAAATCTGCAAGAGTGCTAGTGTTAGTGCATAAGCCACATTGTTCTTTGCGCTCGTGCTTGGTAAGTGTGGATTAGGCATTGAAATATAACAGAATAACAGAGTTGGAAGGGACTTTGGAGATTTTAAAGCAAGAATAGTAGAGTAGAGTAGAGTAGAGTAGAGTAGAGTAGAGTAGAATAGAATAGAATAGAATAGAATAGAATAGAATAGAATAGAATAGAATAGAATAGAATAGAATAGAATAGAATAACAGAGTTGGAAGAGACCTTGGAGGTTTTAAAGCAATAAGGTTTTAAAGCAAGAGCAGAGCAGAGCAGAGCAGAGCAGAGCAGAGCAGAGCAGAGCAGAGTAGAATTAGAATTAGAATTAGAATTAGAATGGAGGGGAGGGGAGGGGAGGGGAGGGGAGGGGCGGGGAGAGGAGAGGAGAGGAGAGGAGAGGAGAAGAGAAGAGAAGAGAAGAGAAGAGAAGAGAAGAGAAGAGAAGAGAAGAGAAGAGAAGAGAATAACAGAGTTGGAAGGGACCTTGGAGGTCTTCTAGTCTAACTGTCTGCTTAGGCAGGAAACCCTATAACGTTTCAGACAAATATCTGTCCAATCTCTTGAATGTCTCTATCCTACACAATGATTTCTGGTAAAAGGCATCAAAAGGCTTCACATCCTATGCTGTGTCAGAAGACAGCTCTTCTAGAAGCTTTCACCCAGTACCCGAGAACTAACTTTGAGGATGCTAATAGGCAGCAGCACAAAATAAGTCCGGAGAACTAAAACCCACAATGACATCTTCTGCGCGCTGGTTATAAAAGAGTTGAGCGTAACGGCCCTTGGCTTTCAACAGCTGTGCATGGGTACCACTTTCCAACATCTCCCCATCTTCCAGCAAGATGATTTGATCACAAAACTGCAGATACTGTGGGTATTAAGGAGAGAGAAAAGAATCAGTAAACTAATGAGAAGGTTGTAGGGTTTGTATTTCAGGGCCCCACGTTTATAGTGGTAATCCTCGATTTACGATCACAGTTGAGCCCCAAGCTTTTGTTTTGCTAAACGAGACATTGGTTAAGTGAGTTTTGCCCCCATTTTACATCCTTTCTTCCCACAGTCATGAAGTGAATCACTGCACTTGTTAAGTTAGTAACCCTGTTGTGAAACGATTCCGGCTTCCCCCATCGACTTTGCTCGTCAGAAAGTCGCAAAAGGGGATCACGCGACCCCGGGGGCACTGCAACCATCATAAATACGAGTCAGTTGCCAAGCATTTGAATTTTGATCACGTGACCACGGGGATGCTGCAATGGTCGTAAGTGTGAAAAAGTGTGAATAAGTCCCTTTTTCAGTGTTGTTGCAACTTTGAAGGTCACTTAATGAACTGTTGTAAGTCAAGGACTACCTGTAGACTTTCAGGATTGTCGTTAGTCTTCAAGGGACACAAGATCAAGGAAGAGACATGGCCGTTTTAACTTCGAACGGTCACTAAATGAACGGCAGTAAGTCAAGGACTACCTGTAATCATATTTTTAAATGGTGTTTATTGTTGTAGGAGAGAATTGGACCCATGTACCAAACAATATCAACATGGGGTTATCCTGAGTGTCTTTCTCACGCCTCCCTCTTTCTTGGGTCTAAATACAGGTAATCCTTGATTTATGATCACAATTGAGCTTCTATTGCTAAGCAAGACAGTTGTTAGGTGAGTTTTGTCCCTGTTGTGACCCAGGCCCAGGTAGGTAGTAATCGATGCAAACAGTTCCAAAACAAACAGACTTTATTAAAACATCTGAGAATTAACTCATTCTCAGCGTAGTCCAAACTAAATTTAAAACAAACTCTTCATAGCACAAATTCTTCAGTCTTATCACCAACCTTGGTATAATTAGGCAAACTGCCAAAGGCTTCTCTTGGCAAAAGTTCAAAAGCAGAAGACGCCGACAAGAGATAAGTCCAGCAATACTATCAATGTTGTTTTCTGACAAAGAGCCCAAACTCCATTGCTGGTCTTTTAAGCCTTATGGGAGGGGCCAATCATCTCTTGGCCCTACTCCTGAGTCATCTTCTTTGCTTTATCTGCTCCTGCCTTCTGGCAGCTCTTCTCATACGTGCACTAGGAACAGGCTCCTCCTGTTCCTCTGCCTCTCTACTGTCAGCCTCTGGAGCCTCGGAGTCCGCACATCACTCCCCGATGGCCCTGGCCCCATCTCTGCCTCCGACGCAGAGCCTTCATCTGGGCCTTTCCCAGCCTCCAGGACTGGCCCCTGTTCTTCCTCAGCCTCATCGCTGTCTGACTCCGCTGCCAGCTCCGCAGGCTGCTGGCAAACCACAAAAGTCCCATTTTACAACCTAAACACATTATTGTAAGTTGAGGATTACCTGTATGTTCTTGTTTGGTGGATAAGAGTTTCGGAAGTTCTTATAGGCAAATTATGCAGTCTGAGCATGAAGCTTAAGGAAGGAAAAGCAGAAGTCTTCCTCTGGCCACCTTTGCTAAGTCAGAGATAAGACAGCAACATTTGAAGAATGCTAAAATTAAGAAAAACCTTTGAATGACGATGCAAAGGAAGAGGTGTCAGCAGCTCACCTTCCCTCTCAAATTATTGCTGCTTCTAGATGCCGTTCAAGGACATGGATGGATTAACTCCTGTCCCTCGGACTCCTTTCCTCACTTTTATCAGTCTTGTACTTTTATCATGGATTAACTTCTGTTCCTCGGACTCCCTCCTTCACTTTTATCAGTCTTGCACACTCAGTCTTTTCCTTTCTCATTTTGAAATGAGGCCAAAAATCTAAACCTTTATACGTGTGGATTGGGTATTGGATAGTATCTTAAGCACACCATTTTTTTAAACCTCCCATTTTGCTTATTCTCATAGACAGCATGAATGGACTTGCCACAATTAGCAGACGAGATTGCAAGCGATTGTTGGTTCTGAAAGATACAGAGATTCAGTTAAATAAAACATAGCAATTAAAAAAAATAGAGATAGGTGGATGGATCTAGTGCAGGGGTCGGCAACCTTAAACACTCAAAGAGTCACAAAGGTCCTAACCAGAAGCCCTCCGTTCAATTCTGGAGCTGACCGGAAGTCTGATTTCCCCACCATAGAGTCCCCTCCTAGCGCAGCGTCCTTTTTCTTTGCCAACCGGAAGTCCAGTTCCCCCACCATAGATTCTCCTCCTAGCGCGGCGTCCTTTTTCCTCTAACAGTCCTAACCGAAAGCCCTATCATTTGTGGAGCTGACCGGTGACAGGGAACTGCAGCAGAGGGATGAAAGAGCTGCATGCGGCTCCAGAGCTACGGGTTGCTGACCCCCGATCTAGTGTATGTTGTAATATGCCGCACAAAAATGTTCAATTTGGAGACTTGATTTGAAGGCCGTAGAAATGAATCTCTGGATCAGATGAGATTTCTGAACTGAATCAGCAAGTCAGTTGCAACCGTCTAGTCAAACTGATGCCACTGGATAGATCTGGATCAATTTTGAAGAACATCTATGTGTGCCCAAAAAGCCTTTATTCTAATCTTTTTTTTTTTTGAAGTTTGAATGAAAGTGGTTAGCTTACACCAGTGATGGCGAACCTATGTCGCAAGTGGCACACAGAGCCATCCCTCTTGGCACACAAGCTGTTGCCTGTTGCTCTTCTGGGTTCTGGAGCACACATGCATGCCGGCCAGCTGGTCGTGCACGCGGTAGCACCGGAAACCCGGAAGTGCAGTTCCCTGGTGTGCAGGCCCGAGCTGGGAAGCTGAGTTTCCAGTTTCCGGCGTGCACATGATGCATCGACCAGCTGGTCTTCGTGCATGCATGCACACCAGAAACCGGAAGACCAGGTGACTGGCACACATCCGCCTGCCAGAAACTGGAAGCTCAGCTTCCTGGCACGGACATGCGTGCTGAGCTGCTGCTCTTTTGGTTTCTGGCACTCCCCCGCGCGAGTGCTCCATTTCGCCACTCAGATGCCGAAAAGGTTTGCCAACACTGGCTTAGACATTCCAGGTAAATTGAAACGATTTTTTAAAATCAAACTGGATTCAAGCTGGAATTGAATTGGATCACAAATTGCAATGAACCAATAAAATGGATTTTGGCAGATTTATACATACTTCACTCTCTCTCTCTCTCTCTCTCCTCCCCCACTCTTTCTCTCTGAGAGAGAGAGAGAGAGAGATTCCCATTGTGTATATGTATCTATGTCTCCCTCTTTCCCTCCCTCCCTCCCTCTATGTGTGTGTGTGTGAGAGAGAGACAGAGAGAGAGAGAGAGAGAGAGAGACAGACAGACAGACAGACAGACAGACAGACAGACAGACAGACAATGGGAAACAGATAGACAGTTAAAGTACATAGAGACAAAGAGACAGAGAGGCAGGGGTTCACTTCTGTTCAACAGAAAAAGAGTGCAAATTTTAGAAAATACTTTTATAGGGCACGGGCTGTGTTTTAGGTCAGACTATACAAATTCTCCCCATTCTTTAGCACGAGTATCTTTGTTTCTGTTCTGTTTTAAAGGGATCAAGGACTTCTGTGCCCTCTGCTGGTATGGAAAAAGATATTTTATTTTCCAAGAAGGGAGGAGGAGGGAAAATATAACCAAATAAAACCGCAGGGATGTTTGTCTTTTAACAATGAAAAATAAAACCAGAGTGGCAAAGACTCAAAAGACTCGCAAACATTGCGCCTGCCGTGGAAAGGATGGATGGTTGCTGACCTCAATTCTCCAACCAATAATTGCTGCCCGAAAACCAAACCATGCCACCAACCTCACTGCTCGGTGTTGTTAAGAGCGTTGCCAAATGCTCTAATTCATTTTCTGTTATGTTAGACTCGCTGTGCAATTGTCTCTCTCCGGGGGCATAAAACCCAGAATGCTTGTTTGCTTCTAAACTAATAGCACACTTACTCTCCAAATGTAGGTTATTATGAAGGGAATGTTCACACACCAGAGGAAAATATTAGCAGCTCTGAAGAGGTTCTAATGGTTTGCAGGAATTTAAACAAAATGGAGGAGGGTTACTGGAAAACAGTTCAAGGATGAATATTGGTTGAACATGCTAAAGCCGGGATGGCAAACCTACGGCACACGTGCCAGAGGTGGCACGCAGTGCCCTCTCTGACGGCACGCGAGCCATCACCACAGTTTAGCTCTGCCACGCATGTGTGTGCGCCTCCTGCCAGCCAGCTGGGTCTCTGCCACACATGCGCAGGGCTGGGGGACGTGCAGGGGGGCACCCAGGGTACATGCGGGGCACCGAGCGCATACAGGGGGTGGGGCACATGTGCAGAGGGGCATTGCATTTTGGGGGTTTGGATGTGCTTTGGGCACTCAGTCCAGAAAAGGTTAGCCATCATTGTGCTAAAATATTAAAATTATTTTTTAAAAACGAAAAGCAGCTTATAAATTATGAGTCATGGTGGCGCAGTGGCTAGAGCACAGTACTGCAGGCTACTTCTGCTGACTGCTGGCTGCCTGCAATTTGGCAGATCGAATCTCACCAGGTTCAAGGTTGACTCAGCCTTCCATATAGGGGTGGAATGCTCCCAGTTTGGACCGGATCGCCCGATCTGGTAGCGATGGCGGCGGGTACAAAAATGGACCGGTAGCAAAAATCCCTGTGCCCCCCCCACCCCCAACATGCCCAGCTGAGCCGCACGATCATCAGAGGCTTTTTTTTTTAACTTTTAAAAGCATTTTTTCTACAACCTCTTCTGATGAAAAAATGCTTTTAAAAGTAAAAAAAAAAGCCTCTGATGATCACGCAGCTCAGCTGGGATCAGCAGAGGCTTTTCAAAGCATTTTTTTCTGCAACCTCTTGGCTGAAGAGGTGGTAAAAAAAATGCTTTGAAAAGTCTCTGATGATCCCAGTTGAGTTGCCTGATCAGCAGAGGCTTTTCAAAGCATTAGAAAAAATACTTTGAAAAGTTTTTTTTAAAAAAAGTTGGCCACGCCCACCCAGTCACATTAACACACACACACACACACACACACACACACACACACACACACACACACACCAAGCCATGCCCACAGAACCGGTAGTAACAAATTTTACATTTCACCCCTGGGCAAAACTCACTTAACAAAGGTCTTGCTCAGCAACTGAAATTTTGGAATCAATTGTATCTACCTATATTGAAGCCTTTGAACTCTGGTGCTGGAGAAGACTCCTGTGAGTCTCTTGGACTGCAAGGCAATCAAACTGGTCAGTCCTAGAGGAGATCAACCCTGACTGCTCTTTAGAAGGCCAGATCCTGAAGATGAAACTCACAATACTTTGGCCACCTAATGAGAAGGAAGGACTCCCTGGAGAAGAGCCTAATGCTGGGAACGATGGAGGGCAAAAGAAGAAGGGGACGACAGAGAACGAGGTGGCTGGAATGGAGTCACTGAAGCAGTCGGCGTGAGATTAAATGGACTCCAGAGGATGGTAAAGGACAGAAAGGCCTGGAGGAACGTTGTCCATGGGGTTGCGATGGGTCGGACATGACTTTGCAACTAAGAACAACACCAATATTGGATTTCTTTCACCCCAACTCCATCGTGGGTGAGTTTCTGATTTAGGACGCCGTTCCTCATAGCCATTCCCTATGAAGTTCTTTCCTGTTTCTTTCAGCAATTCATTTACCTGCAGCTGATGAGACACCAGAAGGATGGTTTTCTCTTGAAGAGCTTTCTTAATGCATTCTTTGAAAATAGACTTTCCAACTTGAGCATCCACAGCAGACAAAGGATCGTCCAATAAATAAATATCTCGGTTTGCATACACAGCACGAGCTAAACTAATTCTCTGCTTCTGACCTCCAGAAAGGGTCACACCCCCTTCTCCTATCTTTAAAAAAACAGAAGGGATACATCAATCAAACCCAAATATATAATATTCATATACGTGTTTTTTTTTTAAAAAAGCTTTCTATCCTTATTGCAATGTATGTGACATTTGTCAGGTTATGAAATTTTCCGGCCTTTATGACAAACATTCAGAGGACTGATTCTTTATTCATACGAACCGAGGTGGTGCAGTGGTGAGAGTGCAGTACTGCAGGTTACTTCTGCTGACTGCCAGCTGCCTGCAGTTCAGCAGTTTGAGTCTCATTGGCTCAAAGTCAACTCAACATTCCATCCTTCCGAGGTGGGTAAAATGAAGATTGTTTGGGGGCAAGAGGCTGACTCTGTAAACTGCTTAGAGAGGGCTGTAAAGCACTGTGAAGTGGTATATAAGTCTAAGTTTTATTACTATTCCTTCCTTCCTTCCTTCCTTCCTTCCTTCCTTCCTTCCTTCCTTCATGGCCCATAATGTCCTTTTTAGTTAGAGCAGATAGGACTGCCAGGTGTTCATCTTAAGAGTACCGTAGAGTCAGCCTCATTTTCTGAAAAATATTTTGGCCAACTACTGTATTCTGCAGAAAGTGAGATCAATCTTAGCATGCAAAAGGAAGAAGGTTAGGCCCCAAGTACCGATAAATTATGAAGGGAACAGGGACATCCATGCATGAAGAGGAGAGAGAAAACAAAAAAGTTAAGATGGCATTCCCAACCATAGATCTTTCACACAACTATGATTGTCTTGTTGATGATGGGGCTTCAACCACACGATCCGTCCTTCCTATCGTTTCCTCTAAAGATTTACAGTTGACTCCTGCTTGAATTACATGGAGGAATGTGGTTGAATAAGACACAATCTTAGCCCTTCAAGAGAGGAGAGAGTGAGAAAGAAACTCAAGATTGTCCCATCTTGATTCTCTTTGGTGTAACATGGAGAAGAAAATCTTGGTCAAGTTCTTTTATGTTACTCCTCAACTGTAGCTTACAGCAGTCCTGATGGCATCTATTTTCTGACTTGGTTGACCTCAAAGGGCTGACAAATTATGACATTTTCCTGATCTTTTCGCCAGTTTGTCTGAATCTCTCTCTCTCCCTCTCTCTCTCTCTCTCTCTTTTTTTTCTAAGAACAACTGCAGAGTGGCTAATTTGACTTAGCAGATTAAAGGTTGAAGAATCTATCGCTTTCCTTTTGGGAACATGTTATGGTGAGGTACTATTAGTTCCAGGGTTGGTACTGTGGATTATGTAGGACCTCCTGTTTTTGTGTGGTTCCTCCCTGCCCCATAACTAACCGTAATCCTGGCCCCTCACCATGTATTTTATTTACAGCAGGGAACAAAATTAGATGGTCTATGTGTTTACAGGGAATTCCTAAAAGATATGTTCAAGATTTTTCTCCTGGGAATCTATCAGTATGTCAGAAACTCGGAAATCAACAGCAGCTATAAGAATTCCAGCGAGGTCATAATGCCATTTTCAGAACATCCACAGATGTTGAGCAGCATATCCAGGGCAAAACTACTTCACTATGTGTCTCAAGTTTGATCATGTTGCAAGCCAGAATGCCGAGAACGAAAATGTAAACTGACAAGCTAGCTTGGAGGGACAAAATGCCAAATCTTGTTAGAATAGATTTTTTTCCCCCCCTTCTGGAGCCCAGACTTGCTTGTATTCCAGCCATTTCCAGGAAAATACAGCAGATTGCTCAGATAATAAAATAGGAATATTTAAATCAGGGGATTTTTTTTTCTCTCTTTTTCAGATCCACTAATCCTTTGGTGATAAAAACACATTATGGCCCAATTTAGCCTCAACGCGTTATGACAAATGTTGGGTTTATGAAACACATCAAAACTAAATTAGCAAAACACGATTGGTTTAACATCTTGGCCTATCAGTTATTTACAGACTGACAGATGAGTTCCCACAACAAGCTGGATCCAATCCAGGGATGAAATCCAGCAGGTTCTGACAGGTTCTGGAGAACCGGTAGCGGAAATTTTGAGTAGTTCAGAGAACCGGCAAATACAATCTCTGGCTGGCCCCAGAGTGGGGTGGGAATGGAGATTTTGCAATGTCCTTCCCCCAGGAGTGGGGAGGGAATGGATAATTTTGCAGTATCCTTCCCCTGCCACACCCACCAAGCCACACCATGCCCATCAAGCCACACCCACAGAACCGGTAGTAAAAAATGTGGATTTCACCACTGATCCAATCCCAGTTTACATTAGCCTACTGTGTTATTTGAAGCCAGGGGTCCATTAGCCATGCTTTGTGGCTTACTACCTTGTGCACAACCTATTATGGTTTATCCAACAAGCCATGACTAAGCCAATATGTTCTGAAAGTCAATCTATATCTGTAGTAGCCCTGAAATCAGAATCATGTCACCCCTAACTCTTCTTTGCAAAATTATAGGAAACTCATTTGTATCACTGTTTCACAAAGCTAATGTAACACCTGAAGATGCTTAACATGAATTAATATTGGAGTTTTGTACCCTTCGTACTAGGAAGAATATCTAAAGCTAGTTTGACCAATTGGCTTCAGGCCCAGTGATGCATTTTTCTTTCTGGTAAAAGCAAATATAATGCTGTCATTAATTAATCAATTGACTGAGAAGCTCAGTAGGTGATTTGAGGTCAATCCTTCTCTCTTGAGGAATGGAAGAAAGGGGAAGGAGAGGAAGAAAGGATAGGGGACAAGAGCAGGAGAGAAGGTGAGAAAGGGGAAAAAGAGGGGAGGAGTGAGGGAGAGGAAGGGGAAGTAGGGGAGGAGAAGAGGAGGAAGAAAGTAGAAGAGGAGAGGAGGGAGAGAGGGGAAAGAAAGAAAGAAGGAGAAGAAGGTTTGTTGTGAAAAGAGGGAAAAGAGAGGGTAGAAGAGCAACCCCAAATGGGATTAAAATGTCTTCTCTTTATGCTTTCATTAGAAAAAAATATGTATGATCAATTATGGATAAGAGAATGTACATTTACAATATGTGCGAAAGAAATAAAAATAAAAATAAATTTTCAAAAAAAAATTCTCTCTCCATCCATCGTAGCTCACTGACTTATTACGTGCATAAAATCAAGGGAGATTTCCAAATATGTTGCCATGAGGTGAGATACCAATAGACAAAATAAGCAACCGTAAGTTGGCAGTTTAACTTAGCATCCTTAAATTAAATGAAACCCCATTATACTTACTTCAGTCATATCTCCATAGGATAAACGTTCCATATCTGTCTTGAGATTGCAAATGTTGATGATATGATTATACCTAAAATATTAAAACTGAACTGAACTGCAAGCAATGAATCTCAGCAAATTTCTTTCACTTCTATAAATAAGCCTTGTAGCAATATTGTGATTTATTATTGGAGAAGACTCCTTCAATGTTGAGTATTGCCAGTCTTTACTCAGTCTTAGCCTTAGCTAAGACAGTAAATGTGACCAACTAAGCTAATTCTATTTTATTGTAAAGCTGCATTAATAGAACCTTGCAAATTTGAAAGTACAATTTTCTCACCATCAGCTTTATAGCCTGATACAGAAGTACCTCCATACTCAACTTTGAAACTCATCGAATTTGGTACTCAAAGCATTTTGACAAGAAAATTTTGTCCCGGTACTCATTGTTCGTTTGGTACAAACAACACGCAAGCTAGAACTTGATGATGCTGGTTGCCTCGTGACTCGCTACCCTTTTCAAGCCGAAACAACGGGTGCCACGTTAGTCACGTGGTAACTCATGCCCTATGCACATCCTCTTGCAGTCTTATCTTAGCTTCTGTGGTCATTTTGTGTATTTTTGCGCTCCCCACCCCTTATCTCTACAGGTAAACTGAAGTTTTTATTTTATTTAATCTACGTATTTATTACTTTCTAGGTTTATTTCTCATGTAAAGTCATGATATGTAAGGTCATCTGCTTGGGCAGGGGGTTGGGCTAGATGACCTACAAGCTCCCTTCCAACCCTGTTGTTCTGTTTTATATAACCCTATCTTTTTATACATTGCCTTTAAAATGTGTATTTGGATTTGGGATACATTACATTTATTTACATTATTCCTCGTGAGAAAATTTTGTTTGGTACTCATCGTTTTTGGTACTCAGCATGCCTCCCAGAACCAATTAATGTTGAATACTGAGGTATCGCTCAGTTACTTAGCATTAAGGATCCCTCGTAAAACTCCTGTTCCACTCATTATGCAACTGTGGGCTATGTTTCCTCTTATCTAACTCTTCCCTAGATAGCATCTCTTCACAATTTTTTTTTCAAGTTGTAGAGCTCTTACAATAACCAGCTGAGATGGAAATGACTCGAGCAAAGAAGGCACTCAAATAACTGGGCCTTATCAATTATTTTACCCTTAGACATTGTATGTAATATTTGAAGTGAAGGTTGCTTTTCTATTTCATATCATTTCAGCAAAGCTTAATGCTTTCCTGCAGCATCTAATGGCTTGTGACATGCTGGTAATATTCCCTGGAGCCATTTTGAAGATGTCTTAAAATGAGCTCTTGGGAGTTGGGTTGGCTTGTTTGTTTGTTCCTGCTAAGCTGGAATAGACTTTTCTTTCTTTTCTCTTCTTTTTTCTTTTTCTTTTTTTGATCCTCTCCAATATAATTTGAGGAAACGACAGAAGTGATATTTAGCAACCGTTTACCCTCACAGCTGAGTACACTGGTCGGGTATAATATTTAGAAAACTAATAAGAAAGAACAGTTTCCTTGGTTTCATTAAAAGCAAAGGATTTTCTGGGGAATACATAAACTCTATTTGAAAATGAGAAGTTAAGACATGTCTTATCTTGATTACTGTAATATAGGTTGTTCAGCTGAGGTCCTTGACCTGCCTGTGGCCCTCAGAATACTTGGGTGAAGCCCTTAAAGACCTTTTGAAATGGCCAACCAAATTGTAATTTTTGTCTTGATACTTTTAAAAAGAACATTAAATATATGGGGAGTATTAAGGTTAAGTATTAAGGTTAAAAGGTAAAGATTCCCCTTGCACATAGTCGTTCCTGACACTACGGGGCGGTGCTCATCTCCATTTCAAAGCCGAAGAGCCAGCACTGTCCGAAGACATCTCCGTGGTCATGTGGCCGGCATGATTAAATGCCAAAGACACATGGAACGCTGTTACCTTCCCACCAAAGGTGACCCCTATTTTTTCTATTTGCATTCAAGGTTGTGTTTGACCTTGGGAGGCCGGGGGGGGGGGCGTTGGTGGCCATAGTGGGTGTAGCCATGATGGGCATGGCCAGCTCCACATCACTTATCGATGTGATGGCCTCCTGCAGCCCTCTGCCAGCAGAAACACATGCTTCATTTTCGCTGTCAGAAAGCTGCAGGAGGTCGTCATGGCCAAACACGAAGCCCTGGTAGGCTGTGCACCCCCCCCATGCTCTATTTTCACTGGCAGAGGGCTGCAGGAGGTCGTTGTGGCCAAAAAATGGAGCCTGGGCAGGCTACCAGACTTCAAATAGAGAAGGCCTAATACAAATTGCTCTCTGTCCTCCAATGAACTTCTTCAAACATTCAGGTCAACTTCTGATGCCTCACATCAGTTCCCATCGCTCACTCAGGTAAGATGGCTCAGAAAGACAGGTTTGGTGATGCCTTGCCTGCAGAAGTCCTCTGGCAATGTTAGAATCTGAGAACCTTTAAGAAGCTGACATTTTATGCCACTATTTCCTCTCCAATTGAGGAGTTATGTTTTGGTTTAATGTGCTTTTTTAAAAAAAATCTGAGTTGCCATTTTGAACATTTTCATTTTGTTACTTCCCTTTTCTGTCCCCAGGGCATTTCTTATAAATACAGCAAGAGAAATAAGTAGGTGTTTCCATAAATACGTCTGATAACAGTTATTTAACAGTACAACATCCTAGCATTTAGCTGAACACAATGTTTGCCTTTTCCTTTATGTAGCTAAGAATAAAAGGATTAAAGACTTAATTCCTTAAAAAAAAAAAAAAAAAAACCAGAGCCAAGGATCAGCAAAGAGAGTGTGATAATTTTGAACGATGGAGCACTCTCCCCACTAATCTTCATGTTTTTTAGTACTTAAAATTGTAGTTACCTTTGGGGGCACAATGGCTCAGCAGTTAAAGAAAGCAGACAGACTGGGTTCGAGACCTGAGCTCCATGCAATGGGGTGAGCTCCCGTCCTCATCCCAGCTCCTGCCCACCTAGCAGTTCAAAATCATGCAAACGTGAGAAGATAAATAGGTACCATTTTGGTGGGAAGGTAACAGTTCTGTGCGCCTTCAGCATATAATCATGCTGGCCACATGACCACAGAATTGTCTTCGGACAATCCTGGCTCCCCCCGGTTAAGAAAAGAAGATGAGCACTGCTAGACTTGGACATGACAGGACAGGGGAAATCTTTAGCATTTTTTTATAGTTACCTTTGTTCATCGTAGTCTTCTCCAAACAGTATGTTATCCCTGACACTTCCATGAAATATCCATGCTTGCTGGGACACATATGCCAAAGTGCCATTCACCACGACATTCCCACGATACAGATACATCTGAAGTGGAGAGAAGGAATGCTTGGATGTCAAATCTGCTTCAGTGGGTTTCCCTGTTATCTGTGAATCCAGGTATCATAAATCACAATTCTTAGATACCAGAGGTGGCTTTCAACAGGTTCTGACCAGTTCTGGAGAACCGGTAGTGGAAATTTTGAGGAGTTCGGAGAACCGGTAAATACCACCTCTGACTGGCCCCGCCCCTATCTATTCTCTGCCTCCCGAGTCCCAGCTGATCGGGAGGGAATGGGGATTTTGCAGGATCCTTCCCCTGAAGTGGGGAGGGAATGGAGATTTTGCAGTATCCTTCCCTTGGAATGGGGTGGGAATGGACATCTTACAGTATCCTTCCCCTGCGACGCCCACCAAACCACGCCCACCAAGCCATGCCACACCCATCAAGCCACGCCCACAGAACCAGTAATAAATGTTTTTGAATCCCATCACTGTTAGATACCTATTTTTTTTCTGATAGAGAATTTGAAAATATTGGAAAATTAGGGAAGGGGAGAGAAGACACTGCATACCAAGGCCAGCCCTTCCATCAGGGCCAAACTATTTCCTTTGCTGTTATTGTAGTTTTGAAATTATGATTGGAGAAAGATTTTATTGTGTGTCATACACCAAGAATTATCGGATAGATTGAATTTTTTGCATCTTGATTTAGTCTGTGCAGCGCAATCCCTCCCACGATTTGCAGTTACATAAAATATTTAATGCTGACTAGGCCACGCCCACCATGGCCATGCCCACTCAACAACCAGACAGAGAATCCCTTGCTAAAATTTTTGAAACCCATCTCTGGAGCAAATGCATGAATTTTTAGATCTGCTTCCTCTGTTTAAGCAAATAGTAAAACACCTGCAACCAGCATCATAATGTTGGTATGCATTAACCATAAGAGCTGAGAAGATCAGCGTATTAGCAGAATGATGTATATATAGTTCACGCACTATAGGCCTAACTTTGGCTACCACATAATACTGAAGCTTTGACTTCATCAGCATAGCAGAGTCAGGGGAAAAAGCCATGTTAACTGTAAAATATCACATCAGAGCTGAACTGAGAAAAATGTAGACATTTACGTACCTGTCCTAATACTGCTTTAAGGATTGAGGTTTTTCCACTTCCGACATTGCCACTAATCCCTAAAACTTTGCCCTGGGAAAGGAAAAAAAAAATTAAGTATAATTTATAGACAGCAGTAGAATACTTTAGAATTAGAATACTTCATTTCGCCAAGTGTGATTAGACACACAAAGAATTTGTCCCTGGTGCAGAAGCTCTCAGTGTGTATGCAAAACAACAGGGTAATAATAATCATAATAATGATATCAGAGAGGGTAGTAGACAAGGTGGGAAGGATAATAATAATATTACAGAGATACAACAAGGGTAAATAGTACTACCTAAGATAGTACTACCTAAGATAGTACTGTGGGAATTAGGTGTTCAGCAGAGTGATAGCATGAGGGAAAAAACTATCTAAGTGGTGCAGTGGTTAGAATGCAGTACTACAGGTTACTTCTGCTGACTCCCAGCTGCTTGCAATTTGGCAGTTCGAATCTCACCAGGCTCAAGATTGACTTACCTTCCATCCTTCTGAGATGGGTAAAATGAGGACCCAGATTGTTGGGGGCAAAAGGCTGACTCTGTAAACCGCTTAGAGACGGCTAATAAAGCACTATATAAGTCTAAAGGCTATTTTCCTCCCTTCCTCCCTTCCTTGCTTCCTCCCTCCCTCCCTCCCTCCCTCCCTCCATCCATCCATCCATCCATGGTGGTGCAGTGGTTAGAATGCCATATCGTAGGCTGACTCTGCCCACAGCCAGGAGTTTGATCCTGATGGACTCAAGGTTGACTCAGCTTTCCATCCTTCCGAGGTGGGTAAAATGTGGACCCAGATTTTGGGGGAGGGGCAAGATGCTGACTCTGTAAACTGCTTAGAGAGGGCTGTAAAGCACTGTGAAGCGGTATATAAGTCTAAGTACTATTGTTATTGTGTTTAGTTGTTTTGGCATGCAATGTCCTCTAGCAAAGGGAGAATTCTTGAAATAATTTATGTCCAGGATGTGAGAGCTCTGTAGACATTTTCTCAGCCCTCCTTCTGACTCATACAATACAGAGGTCTTCTATGGGAGGCAAGCTATATTATGGCAGTAAGGGATCTTCCCCATCAATCCGGAGGTTGTTTATATCCAGGCCAAATCTTAACCTCTTAACGTAAATTATCACCAGGTCGAATTTGGTTTCAAATATTATTGTTCCCGTATACTTACTTTCTCTACTATGAAACTTATATTCCGCAGGACAAAGCTGCAGTTGATATCGCTCCCAACCACTGATATCTGAGAGTGAGGAATGATCGCATTTACCCTGGGAGGAGATTTGTAGACCCTTTTCCCATTCAGAAGTGTTTCTTTCCCACTTTTCCTCTGGGGTTCACCAGAAGCACTTTCCCAAGATAAGGTGACGTCTTTCAACACCACCGCATTTCTGGAGCCCTGCAGGGTCATCACATACTCAGAAGGCGTTTTCATAGTGAGAATTTTCTACAAGAGAGGGGGAAAAAAATGATCTAAGATAAAGCAATAGCATTTAGACTTATATACCGCTTCACAGTGTTTTACAGACCTCTCTAAACAGTTTTTGGATGGTACATGGTGGCTCAGTGGCTAAGATGCTGAGCTTGTCGATCGAAAGGTCGGCAGTTCAGCGGTTCGAATCCCTAGTGCCGCGTAATGGGGTGAGCTCCCGTTACTTGTCCCAGCTTCTGCTAACCGAGCAATTCGAAAGCACGTAAAAAATGCAAGTGGAAAAATAGGGACCACCTTTGGTGAGAAGGGAACAGCGTTCCATGCACCTTTGGTGTTTAGTCATGCTAAACAACATGGCTAAAATCTCTGCATATTTGAAGGATCGTTCGAATGAAAGGTATGTACTGGAATGGAGAAGATGGATTGACTATATACAAAATAAATATGGGACTAAAAAGTTGCAAATAGCTTATGAATGAAATATTTAGATGATTTTTCTACTTATTCTGATATTTTGGTACCTATGGGGGAGTTAAAGAGTAAGGGGGAGTTAAGAGCTTATAGTTAGTTTGTTTATATTAGATTATGTTTGCTAAATGTAATACCCTGTATTTTGCTCTGGGAAGTCAGGTGGGGGGAGGGAAGGAGAAGGGAATGGGTGGGGGGAGGAGGGGGGGAAATCTTTGTAAAACATTCTAAAACTTTTCAATTAAAAAAAAAAAACCTCCAGTGGTGGAGCACCGACAACTTCTGGAGGAAAGTTGTTCCACTGATCAATTGTTCTGTCAGGAAATTTCTCTTTAGATCTAAGTTGCTTCTCTCCTTGATTAGTTTCCATCCATTGCCTCATTGGTAGACATCCTCAATTCAGGGGTGGGCTTCAAAAATTTTAGCAAGGGGTTCTCTGTCAGGTTGCTGGGTGGGCATGGCCATGGTGGGTGTGGCCTAGTCGGTTTCCTGCACCATGGCTTTGCCCTCCCTGGGCTCCGGAGTCTTTCCTCGAGACTCCTGGAGGGCGAAAATAGCCTCCCCAGACTCCAGAGGCCCTCTGGAGGCTGGAAACAGGTCCGAACTTCCGGAAGGCCCATTTTTCGCCCTCCCCAAGCCTCTGTGCGCGCCCTGCACTTACCTGCATCCAAAATGGGCCACATGGGGACTCCTTGGAGGGGAGGGGTGAGGTGGGCGGGGCCAGCCAGGAGTGGGATTTGGGGGTTCTCCGAACTGCACAGAATCTTAGCTAGAGGTTCTCCCGAACCCCTGCGAACCTCCAGCAGCCCACCCCTGCCTGAATTCCTGCAACTGTTCCTCATAAAGAACAGTTGTTCACATTGTTGTGTGTATAATACAATTTTTCAATAATAGATTAAGGGGCATTGACAGCAAAACAGATATGATATAATATAGCAATCTAGTGTATTCTGTAACTAACACAGGGTATTCTTCTTTTATGTCCTTGCTTAAATATCCCAAAACATCTGTAATCATCCCACCCGCACTCCCTTCAAAAAAACCACCATTTTCTACCTTCAACCTTTTTAAGGCGACACTGGCTTCTGCAAGGGCTTTCACTGAAAATGGCAAAATGGCAATTGAAAACCTCATGGTGTTAAATACTGAAATCACACTGAAGGCCTGTAAAAGAGAAGCAATTAAAGGATTCTTAATATCACATGTAGGGACGTGGTGGCTCAGTGGCTAAGACGCTGAGCTTGTCAATCGAAAGGTCGGCTGTTCAGCAGTTTGAATCCCTAGTGCCTCGTAATGGGGTGAGTTCCCGTTACTTGTCCCAGCTTCTGCCAACCTAGCAGTTCGAAAGCACGTAAAAAATGCAAGTGGAAAAATAGGGACCATCTTTGGTGGGAAGGTAACAGCGTTCCGTGCGCCTTTGGCTTTTAATCATGCTGGCCACATGACCATGGAGATGTCTTCGGACAGCGCTGGCTCTCCGGCTTTGAAACGGCGATGAGCACCGCCCCCTAGAGTCGAGAACAACTAGCACATTAAATTAGGCATACCCAATTCCTGCAACTATTTCTTCATATGCTCTCCAGTCCCCTAATCATCTTTATTCTCTACACTTTTTCTAGAATTCCAACATCTTTTATATATGTCTCTATCTCTATCTCTATCTCTATCTCTATCTCTATCTCTATCTCTATTTATAGCTATAGCTATAGCTTTCTATCTATCTATCTATCTATCTATCTATCTATCTATCTATCTAAACAAAGATGCAGACATTATGCGAGCTCTGGAACTAATATTTGTTTACAAATATACCTGGAACTCGTATTTTTAGAATAGTTTGTAATACACACACACACATACACACACACACACACATATATACATACACTTATCTGGGCACGATGAGAATATATCTGCTGAATATAACTCCTCATTAGTGACAGGAAGGGCATCTGGCCAGTAAACACTCAGCTCCCTTCAGTTGCCCCAACTCCACCCCGCAAGGGATTATGGGGTCATTAAAAGAAGATGACCACACACACACACACACATCCTTGGTGACCAAAACTGGACGCAGTATTCCAAGTGTGGCCTTACCAAGGCATTATAAAATTGTGCTAACTACTTCACGTGATCCTGATTCTATCCCTGTGTTAATGCAGCCTAGGACTGTTGATCTGTCATTCTGGGATCATCTTGGTTAGGGATTGATAGCTATCATAAAAATACAACGGGGGGGGGGGCAATTATGAAATGGAAATATCATCTTACAGCAGCAGCTGTTAGTTCACGCTTTAACAGGGTGTGGAAGGAAAACAGCATAACAATGGTTAGAGTGGAAACGACCGGGGTAAGAGCAGAGTTCACACTCTGGAAGTATCCTGCCTTTTCTAGGATTTTTCTTTCTGCTTCCCTGATGCCTGCAAAGGGTAAAAAGACATCATCCTGTAACACCTGGAACGAAGAGGTAAATCTTTTCTAGACCATGGTCTATGACAGGTGTCAGCAACCTGCGGCTCCGGAGCTGCATGCGGGTCTTTGGGCCCTCTGCTGTGGCTCCCTGTTGGGTGATCCCACCACTGACTAGCTCCGCTCCTCGTCCTCCCCTCCCAGTCACTCCTCGCCTGGCCTGAGAAGGTAAGGACGATGGGGGGGGGGATGGAGAAGCGGCCAGGGCAGAGAGAGAAAGATACAGAGAGGGGAGGGAGAGAGGGGGGAGGAAGGGAGGGAGGGAGGGAAAGAGAAGGAGATATTTTTTAACAACCGGTTCTCTGCCCTAATGACCGGGTGGGTAGGCGTGGCTAGGGGAGGTCATGTGACTGGTGGAAGTGAGTGACATCGAGTTGGCCACGCCCACCCAGGTTTTGTGGCTCCCGGTGTTTTCTTTTCTGTGGGAAACGGGTCCAAATGGCTCTTTGAGTGTTTTAAGGTTGCAGACCCCTGGTCTATGATTTTTTTGCACATTATACCCTGTACACCTTCAATTAAAGGTGAATCATAAATCAGGGTGCGGAGGATTTAGTTAAAACATTCCACTGAAACACGAACCTCCCCACTCCAGGTACCTGTGATAATTTTTGCAAACGATGTTTCCCAGGCATACATTTTGATTAACTTAATGCACGTCAACACCTCATTCATGATTCGCACACGTTTGTCGGTCAGCAAAATAGATCGTCTTCGGAAAACAGATGTTAATTTGGCCATCAGCATCTGCAAGGAAGGGGAGCAAAAGGTGAGCCACAGCCCAGATTTCATTACAGGGCTGACAGGTAAACTCATGGCTAAAGGCTGAAGAGTCTTTATAATTGTAGCTATCCCTTCTGTGACTAGCGCTGATAATGTTACCTAGCTGGGTCATGAAAGGTCTGCAAGAAAACAACAACGCTCAGGGAGCACCAAGGACCCCTAATTTCAATCCTGAGCTACAAATACTTTCTTTCTTTCTTTCTTTCTTTCTTTCTTTCTTTCTTTCTTTCTTTTCTCCTTTATTGATATCCCTTCTGTTGTTCAGATTTAGGCTGTGAGTATAGGTAGTCCTCGACTTACGATCACAATTGAGCCCAACGTTTCATTTACTAAGTGAGTTTGCCCCATTTTATGACCTTTCTTGCCTCAGTTGTTAGCCTCTGAATTTTGATCACATGATCATGGGGATCATGTGCAAAGGCCGTAACTTTGAAAAACGGTCGTAAGTCACTTTTTTTCAGTGCCGTTGTAATTTTGAACAGTCCCTAAATGAACTGTTGTAAGTTAAGGACTACCTGTATTATCACTTAAATATCCACACTAGTCTTGCTGACGTAGAGGAGGAGGGCAGTATCAACGGATTTGGACTATAACGTTTGCAGAGGTAGAAGACTTTTAGTAAAATCCCACCAGAAAGGAACCTGCAAGGAGATCTCTGCTAGGAAGCAAAACCATTAATATGATGGAAACAGACTAGAACATGGGTGTCAAACAGGCGGTCTGCGACCCGGATGTGTCCCATGCAGGCCACGCCCACCCCAGCTCTGTGAATGGGAAAAACATCGTGAGTTTGACACCCATGGACTAGAACAGGGGTTGGCAACCTTAAACACTCAAAGAGCCACAAAGATCCTAACCGGAAGCCCCCCCATTCAATTCCGGAGCCAACCAGAAGTCCAGTTCCCATAGAGACTCCTCCTAGTGTGGTGTCCTTTTTCCTCTGCCAACCAGAAGTCCGGTTCCCCCACCATAGAGTCTCCTCCTAGTGCAGCATCCTTTTTCCTCTACCTGTCCTAACCGAAAGCCCTATTAATTGTGGAGCCAACCAGTGACAGGGAGCCGCAGCAGAAGGATGAAAGAGCCACATGCGGCTCCAGAGCCACAGGTTGCTGACCCCTGGAATAGAATGTCCTCTTCACATTCCACTTTACACATCTAATAAGAGCCATGAGGGTACAGTGGTTAGAGTGCAGTACTGCAGGCTACTTATGCTGACTGCCGGCTGCCAGGCGTTTGGCAGATTGAATCTCACTAAGCTCAAGGTTGACTCAGCCTTCCATCCTTCCGAGGTGGGTAAAATGAGGACCCTGATTGTTGGGGGCAATAGGCTGACTCTATAAACTGCTTAGAGCGGGCTGTAAAAGCACTGTGAAGCGGTATAGAAGTCTAAGGACTATTGCTATTCCTCCCTCCCTTCTTTCCTTCCTTCTTTCCCTCCTTCCTTCCTTCCCTCCTTCCTTCCATGGTGGTACAATGGTTAAAATGCAGTATGGCAGGCTCTGCCCACAGCCAGGAGTTCAATCCTGACTGGCTCAAGGCTGACTCAGCCTTCCATCCTTCTGAGGTCTGTAAAATGAGAACTGAGATTGTTGGGGGCAATAGGTTGATTCTGTAAACTGCTTAGAGAGGGCTGTAAAAGCACTAAAAGTGGCATATAAGTCTAAGGGCTATTGCTATCTAGTTGCCACTAACAACTTCCTTAACATGGGAGGCTTTTTTCCCCCTTATTTTAATAACACAAAGAGAGGACCGTAGGGGAGATCTTCTGGTATAAGCGCGTCATCATTTTGTAGAAAAGGAAAACGTTTTACCTGCAACGGTATAAATGCAGTATAAATGAATGTTCCTATCAGTGCTGTCGGACCAAGGAGGACACAGGAATAGATGGTGCAAACCACGATCAGAAGAGGCGCCAACATGGGCATGGGGCCGAACAAGGCAGCTTCGAATATCCGAAAACCATCGTTGGCTAAGAAATTAATCAACTGAAAGGCAACGAGGAAACTGCTCAAAAATGATCCAGTGTTTGGAAAGCTTTCCAAATCGTCGTCCACCAATGTGAATGGCAGAATCAGAATGGCCGATTCCTACGTCTAGAATGGCCAACTCTAAAGACCACAGATGAAGATCTACCTTCCCAGATAGGCTAAACAGGCAACCTGACCAGGTGAGCTAATTCTATTTTATTGGAAGAATTGTACTAACAAACACACTTGCAAGTCCGAACGTACAGGTAGGTGGTCCTTGACTTCCAACAGTTTGTTTAGTGACCGTTCAAAGTTACAACGGCACTGAAAAAAAGTGCTGTTTTTCAAAGTTACAACCGTTGCAGCATTCCCCATGGTCACGTGATCAAAATTCACAGCTGGGGGAACTGACTTACATTTATGATGATAGCAGTGTCCCGGGGTCATGTGATTCCCCCTTTTACAAACTTGCTTAACAAATGTCTCACTTAACAACATAAATTTTGGGTTCAATTGTGGTTGTAAGTCGAGGACTACCCGTACAGTTCTCTTAGTGTCCCTTCTACAACTTGAGAATTTGAAGCTGTCCTCTCTTCTTGCCCCACTCACTATATAGCAGTGGGCTAGGCTGTCTGTTATCTGTTCTGTAGGCAGCATCTCTTTGCTCTGTCTCCCACTCCTGGGGGAAGGATACTGCAAAATCCCTATTCCCACCCCACTTCATGGGAAGGATACTGCAAAGTCCCCATTCCCTCACCACTCCTGGGGGAAGGATATTGCAAAATCTCCATTCCCACCCCACTCTGGGGCCAGCCAGAGATGGCATTTGCCGGTTCTCCGAACTACTCAAAATTTCTGCTACCGGTTCTCCAGAACCTGCTGAATTTCAACCCTGGGATGTGATCTCCGAATCTTACCTTGCTTAAAGACGCGTGTTTCAAGGACTTACAAGCCAGCAGGTTCTCAAAAGCGATGGTCGTCACGGCAACCTTTCCCCGGACAGCTGTGCGATAGTTGATAGCCCATGTCAGTGACCACAACACAACTTTTGAAACTTCGGTGAAAAAAAGGGCCATGCAGAGGCCAATACCCTCCAGCAAGTCCCTTGAATTTTTGTCCGTGTATTGAAGAATGTTATGGAAGATCAAGGTCTGGCAAAAACATACATACCAAAACATAAACATGTAAATTTCTTGGACAATGTGTGTTGCTAAATTGATACATTTTTAAAGCAGTCAATATTATTCAATACCGCCTGATTTAATTCCCCTCCTGCCCACAGTTTAAAAACAGAAATGGAAACAGACTGATACTCCTCCAGACCACCTGATAATAAGGAAAATTTATGAATGTGCAGAAATGGATAAACTGTCTATGGAAATGAAGGAGAGGGAAGAAACCGAGTACTATCAAATTTGGAACAGATGGTATTCCTGGCTTGAGAGTAAATGTAAAACTTAAAGGTATAAATTGTAAAAAGTATAATATATAGAACGTAAAATTTATAAGAAATATACGATATTGATTTGTGAGTAGATATTATTATAATTTAAATAAGGATATAACATAGGAGAGTGATGTAGATAAATAGAATTTTTGCAAATATGATTGTTACGAAAGATATTGATACCGATATGGAGAAGCTGTTATAAGTGTAAATATGTGTTTTGTGTTTTAAATGTTGGAAAATTCAATAAATACTATTTAAAAAAATAAAAAAAAAATAAAAGCTGTGCAAAAAAATTGACAGGTCTCCCTAGCAATTTACAATTGCTCTGCCAACACAAAATAATCGTCCAAGGATTGGATCATCTACGATTATTTGCAACCTGAATTCTCATGGGATTTTTTTGGCAGATTTCTTTTGAGTGTTTTTTCACAATTCGAAGCATTGGGAGGAGACATGTTTTAGCAATGTTTGGGTCATCGGAACTGACGTCATCCTTATCATCATTGTCAAAACAGTGTTCTGCTAGGAAAATCACCAAGTTTGAGCTGTGGTTCCAGATCACTCAGGATGATGGCGATGCCAAGATGGATGTGGTTCTTAGCCTAAGAAAAGTTTCCCTATCAAGTTTGGGCCAAAGACCAAAAAGTGGGATCTTTTTGCATGTGGTATGAGTGTTTCACTGAAATAAGATCTCTCTTTTAAAAAAAAAAAGGTTTATAAATGCAATAGCAGTAGGCAGAGATATTCTCCAGTGGCTGGTCTATCGATTCTCATTCAATTTGATGAGAGAGAATTTGCTTTTGAAATTTCTTTCAAAGCAGATGCCAATTGCAATGAGTGTCTTAAAAGTGAAGTAGGTTTCCCTCTGTCTCTCTCTCTCTCTCTCCCTCCCTCCTCCCTCTCCCTCCTCTCTCTCCCTCCCTCCCTCCTCCCTCTCCCTCCCTATCTCCCTCTCCCTCCCTCCCATTCTCCCCCTCTATCCCTCCCTGTCTCTCCATCTCCCTCCCTTTCTCTCTCTCCCTGTCTCCCTCCCTCTCTCTCTCTCCCTCCTCCCTCTCCCTCCCTCTCCCTCCCTCTCTCCCCCCTCTCTACCTCCATCCCTTCCTCTCTCTGTTTCTCCCTCTCCCACCCTCTTCCCTCTCTTTCTCCCTCTCCCCCTCCTTCCCTCCCTCTCTCTTTGCTCTTTGTGACAAATCAACTGGGAAGCTAGGTCTACAGCATGGTCAACTCAGTGTGGCCAACTTGCCATGACCAACTCATCATGGCCAATTGTCCATGGCCAACTCGCTGCAGCCAGCTCGCCGTGGGATAACTCGCTGCAGGACAAGAGTTACACTACTAGCGAAGAAATGGTGGAATCGAATCATGAAAGAAAGGCTGGGAAAGGAGGGACAAAATGAAATGTGAATGACTAAAATTAAAATAATTTTTTAATTAGTTGAATTGTCCTGCAGCAAGTTGTCCCACTGCAAGTTGGCTGTATTGAGTTGGCCATGGCACGTTGGCTGTCCCAAGTTGTCCCATTCCAGCCTCTCTGGCTTCCCACCTATTCTTTCCACCCCAAAGACAGACGTCAGAAACCACTCCAGGGTAGCCTTTTGACTGAGGGGTGGATTTATCAAAAGTTCTGCCTCAAACAAGGGTTTGAAATGTCCTCTTTCCCCCGGAGAAATTTCTGAGAAATCACCCCGTCAAATTCTCTTTCCAAATCTTTTGAAAGGTTATCGGGTGTCAGCTCTCAACATGCGCCTCCAGGTTACTCACTGGCCCCAAAACACCAAAAATGGAATAAAAAATATTAGCAATGATGTCCATGAAAATCCTTGTCCTTTGAAACCGAAAGAACACTTTGCCTAAAGAAGCTTTCTCAAGTCCGACTTTGGCAACCTCGGCTTCCCAAAGGAGTCGAAATCTGTAAAAAAAAAAAAAAAAAAAAAAAAGCAAACAACTCACGTGACATATTTCTTCCACACCCACGCTTGTTAAAGTCGCTGTTGTCAATTAATTATTACAGAGGCCAGATAGAGAATTGAGAAGTTATAACGGGGCATCTTGCTTTAAACAGACATTCAAATCTAGTATTGGATAAGCATCGATCAAGGCTTGGCCAATGCCTTATCTAAAAGTTGGTTATTTTACTCCACTGTTTGTTTCACTGGTGTTCCACTTTGCAGGGAATAACAGAATAACAGAGTTGTAAAGGGGACCTTTCCTTCTAGTCTTCTAGTCCAACACCCTGCTCAGGCAGGAAACCCTATGCCATTTCAAACAAATGGTTGTCCAATCTCTTCTTAATGCACACCTTCTCCAAAGAATGTCTGCAAAGAAGACTTAAACCAGGATGATAATTTTCCAGGTGCAACCGAAATCATGTAGAGGGTAAAGTAAAGTAAAGTACAGGGTCTTGCTTTGGCCCATTGCCCTGCTTTCCTTCTCCTTTTAGGAAAGTTATGGCAGGACACCACCAGCCCTCTTATTTTGTTACAAACAACTGTTTCCCTGAAAATAAGACTGGGTCTTATACTAATTTTTGCTCCAAAAAATGCATTAGGGCCAGTGGTGGAATTCAATTTTTTTTACTACTGGTTCTATGGGCGTGGCTTGATGGGCATGGTGTGGCTTGGTGGGCATGGCAGGGGAAGGATATTGCAAAATCTCCATTCCCTCCCCACTCCAGGGGAAGGATCCTGCAAAATCCCCATTCCCACCCCACTCCAGGGGAAGGATACTGCAAAATCCCTATTTCCTCCCCCACTCCTGGGGGAAGGATATTGCAAAATCTCCATTCCCGCCCCACTCCAGGCGAAGGATACTGCAAAATCTCCATGCCCACCCCACTCCAGGGAAGGATACTGCAAAATCCCCATTTTCTCCCCACTCCTGGGGGAAGGATATTGTAAAATCTCTATTCCCACCCCGCTCTGGGGCCAGTCAGAGGTCGTATTTGCTGGTTCTCCAAACTACTCAAAATTTCCGCTACTGGTTCTCCAGAACCTGTCAGAACCTGCTGGATTTCACCCCTGATTAGGGCTTATTTTCTTGTTAGGGCTTATTTTTGGGGAGGGCTTATTAGTACTAATATCCATCCGTCTGGCTAATTATCTTAACTGGGGCTTATTTTGGGGGAGGGCTTATATTATGAGTATCCTTAAAAATCATGCTAGGTCTTATTTTCGGGAAAACAGGATATTGGGTTTGTTATCTTCAAAGTCCAACAAATGCAAACGAGGGCCACCTCCTTCTCTCCAGGAAGCTTGGGGTGGGTCGAGAGAGATTTTAAAAATAATAACCTTTTGGCATTCGGTTCGGCACTGTCGTAGTAAGAGATGGAAGGCAACGTCGCTATATTGATTTTGTGCCGGTATCCTTGGAGCATTAGAGAGGAAAACCAAGAATAGGTAGCAAAGGAGAAAAGTCCAGCATTGTCCACTGGATTCTTGGAAGACCTGTAGGTCAGGCAGAAAGAGGGAATCAGTCATTGGGAGAAGGGGGAAGATTTTACGGGAATCAAAAGCTGCCTTTGGCCTTGGACCGTTGCCCATTCCATCCTCCTAATCATCTCTTTGATTGGCACTTGTTCATCAGTGAGACCTTTCCCTCATCCCCAGCAGCTACGGTCTTTGAGCAAGAGTTCTCTAATCTTTTCACTGGATATTGAATAGCTGTCTCTGAGAAGTCAGCCGTCTTGGTTGTCTTTTCAACAGTGAAAACAGGCAAGATACGGGTTTTTTATTCACTCCCGCTTTGAATTCTCAACAATTCTCCCCGTGCTTGCCAATCATTTAATTTCCATGATAAGTTTAAAATTGGGCTCTGTGTGTGTGTGAAGAATGTAAAGCTGGCCTTGGGAATGGGGAACAACTGAGCAAACAAGGGGTACTTAAAAAAAAAAGATTACACGTAGTCCTCGTAGTTCATTTGGTGACTGTTCGAAGTTACAATGGCATGGGAAAAAGTGACTTATGACTGTTTCTCACACTTATGACCGTTGTCGTATTCCCGTGATCATGCAATCAAAATTCAGAAGTTTGGCCACCGGTTCATGCTTACGGCAGGATCACGGGATCATCTTTTGCGACCTTCAGACAAGCAAAGTCAATGGCTAAACCAGATTCACTTAACAACGGTGTTGCTAACTTAACAATTGCTACAGTTCGCTTAACAACTGTGGCAAGAAAGGTCGTAAAATAGTCTAAAACTCACTTAACAAATGTCTCGCTTAGCAAGATAAGTTTTGGGCTCAATTGTGGTCGTACGTTGAGGACTTCCTATATCAGGTTCTCTCTGCCCCATCTTATACCACACAAAAATCAAAATAGGGTTATCTTGAGGTTCTTTCTTATGCTTTTTTTCTTTCCCAGGACTGAGTTGTTGTTGTTTTGAAAATTTCCGCTCTACTGGTTCATCAGTGCTTTTTCCATTCCAAAACCAGCTGTAGATTTTTCCACAAGTTGGCACAATCCAAGATCCCAGACCAACATCCAATTTATGAGGCTAATTTAAGTGCTCTGCTTATCTACTACATCTCTGTGTATGGGAATAACTAACACCAGGTCTCTGATAGTTATAAATTAGATGATTGGTTCATTCAGGAGTCATGGTGACAATCATAGGGATATTAAAGGTAAAGGTAAAGGTTCCCCTCGCACATGTGTGCTAGTCGATCCCAACTCTAGGGGGCGGTGCTCATCTCCGTTTCAAAGTTGAAGAGCCAGCGCTGTCCAAAGACATCTCCGTGGTCATGTGGCCGGCATGACTAAATGCTGAAGGCGCACAGAACTCTGTTACCTTCCCACCAAAGGGGGTCCCTATTTTTCTACTTGCATTTTTTACGTGCTTTCAAACTGCTAGGTTGGCAGAAGCTGGGACAAGTAACGGGAGCTCACCCCGTTACGCGGCACTAGGGATTTGAACCGCTGAATTGCCAACCTTTCGATCAACAAGCTCAGCGTCTTAGCCACAGAGCCACCACGTATTCATCGCAATATTCTAATATTCATCGCAATATTCTAAGTACGAGAACTGGAACTTGCCTTGCTCTTAAGCGGATGGGAATCATGGTTTTTAAGCTTTGTGAATATTTCTGGTAGAAGGTCTTTTCAATATTTGTTTTGTTCAAATCAGTGGGAGGCAGATAATGTTCCAATAGTATACTGTCATTCTGAAGGTACCAGGGCTTGCCGTCCTTAGCCATTTTGTCTGCCTTTAAGGGGGAAAAAAAATGAGAGAAGGGGATTAATTTTGAGCAACCATTTCTTTTCATTTTCCTGTTGGTAAAAAAGAAAAAAAAAAAAGCTGGAAGGCTTGGAGTCAGAAGAGGAACAGAAATCTCTGCCAGTCAAAGATAAAGGCAAATACACCTGCATAGATCAATTTTGTTTGCAAAGCCATGTTAATTTCGGAGGCATTAAGTCAATTTTTTCAGCAGCAGAAATGGAAGGGTCCCAAATGCTTATCAATGGGGCATAGTTGATTGAATCTGTTTGGCAACCATCCTCTACTTTTCAAGACCAAAGCAACGAGGCACCGCGTGTTTATAACCTAATGAAAGGCTGCCCCCTTGTTCTCGTGGCCTACTTCTCATCTCCTCCCTTCCCCAATTCTTCATATGTTCCTCTTTTAAAGAACAGCTTAGAGCAAAAGGTTCTAAGGTAAGACAAAGTAGCATCAAAACTAGGCCAACAGTTTGATGGGATGTTTCTTCGGGCATAGTTTATGCCCAGGGGTTGGATTTAAAATTTTTAGCAACTGGTTCTCTACCCGGTTGCTGTTTGGGCGTGGCTATGGTGGGCGTGGCCTACTAAGCCTCCTGCACTATAGGGCGGGGGGTGGTTTTGCCATCCCCAGGCTCCAGAGGCTTCCCTCAAGCCTCTGGGAGGGCAAAAATGGCCTCCTCCAGTTTCTGGAGGCCCTGCAGAGGCCAGAAACGGACCCGTTTCTGGACTTCCGGAACTTCTGAGAGGCCTGTTTTTCACCATCCGAGAGCCTTCGCGTGGACGGCGCACTTACCTGGCATCCAAAACGGGCCGCGTGGAGACTCCTGGGAGGGGCGAGGCAAGGTGGGCGGGGCCAGCCAGTCCTTGGAACTACCGGTTTGGCGAACCAGATGTAAAATTAGCATCCGAGTCACCTGAACCAGTCCGAATCATCTGAATCCCACCCCTGTTTATGCCCCATGTTTTTACATGCATACCTAGTGACAACGAAATACATTTGTGGCTGAAGGTTCATTCTCAGAGCTCCTGGGTTGGTTTCTGAATGTTTCGGTACCAGGTGTGGGTGTGTCAAGTGAGGTTCTTGTGATGGGTCAGGTGTGAGGCATCAGTGAGTCTTTTTTTTTTTTTTTTAATTTGATTTATATGCCGCCCTTCTCCGGAGACTCAGGGCGGCTTACAATGTGCTCAGCAATAGCCTTCATTCTTTTGTATATTTATACAAAGTCAGCTTATTGCCCCCACAAACTGGGTCCTCATTTCACCTACCTTAGAAAGGATGGAAGGCTGAGTCAACCTTGAGCCTGGCGAGATTCGAACCAGCAGAAATTGCAGGCAGCTGGTCTTAATAACCAGCTTAATAACAGGGTGCCTTAAACCCCTGTACTACCAAGGCTCTTGTGAGTCTTGTGATGGGTCTTGTGATAAGGTGTCAGGTCAGAGTCATTGAGAGGCGAACTGCCAGTGGGGGGGGGGTGCGTGAGTTGGTTGCGGGCCGGTGCCGCCTCTGGTTGGCTGAGCTGTTGAAATACATTTGCTCCCACCAATTTCCATTCCCTTTGTTGGCGATTATGCTTCAAGGTCGAAAGATGTTAAGTTTATTGTTCTGGGTCAGTCAAACTGATCCATTCATTCTGTGTGTGTGGGGGGGTGGAGATCTCACCATTTTATGGAGATCAAAGGATGGGACCCTTGTCTTCTGGACATGGTCCAGAAGCAAGAGAGAAAGAAATGAAAAATAGCCATTAAGCACTAAGGGTTGGAAAAGACTCCTAAACCTAGAGCTAACTTTGTGACGAAAGAATTAGATTTTCAACCAAAGCATTTGCTATTCTGCCCAATTTGCTGAACTGACAGGAAATTTGGAATGGAAAAAGAGTGTAGAGCTGTAGAGAGGAGACTGGATGTGAATGTTATAGATGAGAAAAAAAAAAACAACCCCTTATCTCACATCAAAACGTTGCCTTTTGCAAATCTGCCCTCTTTCGAAATGAGTTCCTCTCCACAACCTGGACTTTTAAGACGAAAGACAATTTCTCAGTAGCTTTGTGTGGCCACCACGCAGTGTAACGGATTGGCCAGCAGGATTAAAGTTTAGCCGAAAGACATGCAAATATTTCTAGAGCCCTGAGTTGACGTTGTGAATCTGAGAATTTCATTCCTCCTCTTGATTAAGCTTGGTTTCACCCTTCTGCAGAGTGACTGCGCTGCTTAATTCTCTCCTGCATGTGCCACTGCTCCCCTAAAGAGATGATTGACAGACTGAATATGTGATGTTCTCCTCGCCCTTCGCATTGCTACACCTTCAATTCGCTTCCAGTATTTTTTGTCTGATCTTCCAAACTGGTGCAGCCTCTCTCTCTCTCTCTCTCTCCGCAACTGCCTGACTCAACTGCCACTCTGGATTCATAAAGAACATTCTAGAACAGGATTCTCCAACCTTGGCAACATTAAGACCTGTGGACTTCAACTCCCAGAATTCCTCAGTAAAGCAAAGCAAAGGAATTCTGGGAGTTGAAGTCCACAAGTCTTAAAGTTGCCAAGGTTGGAGACCCCTGTTCTAGAACACTTCCTGCTCTCCCTCCTGACTTCTGTCGAACTTTCTAAAACAGGTTCTGACCGGTGAGTGGATTGCAAGAAGGATAAGAAGAATTCAGGCTTGGGAGATCTGTTTCATCTTGTAGTAGAACCCTCTGAGACTCTTCAGCTTGTGATGAATGTTCAAGACTGGCATTGTTGAAGAAGTGCAACGTTAGCCACATGGCATAATAGCTTTCGGCGGAGTCCTTGGTGCTGTCCGAGCTTGGTTGTTTCTTGCAGACATTTCATTACCCAAGTAGGTAATATCATCAGTGAGAGAAGGGGATGGGGTTTGCGGAGAGGAGAAGAAAATGGGAGGAGGAGGAGATGATGGAGATGACAACTATGGGGTCCTTGTGGTCTCTGAGCTTTCTTGCTTTCTTGCAGATATTTCATTACCAAGCTAAGTAATAGATTCAGGGATCTTCTATTAGTATATAGCTTTCTCTTCCAGCGTCTAGTTGTTACTTCTCAGGTAGCAGCAAAAATAAAGGGTAAAAGAAGATAACCTTGTCAGAGGTATATTTGTTGCCTAGACAAGAAGGCTGAAATATGTATTTAAAAAAAAAAATCCAGAAGATATATATTCAGAAATGGCTCAGGCAGATGCCTTCCTAATTTACTGAACCCTAACTGAGCTTGTCGATCAAAAGGTCGGCAGTTAGAATCCCTAGTGCCGCATAATGGGGTGAGCTCCTGTTACTTGTCCCAGCTTCTGCCAACCTAGCAGTTCGAAAGCATGTAAAAAATGCAAGTAGAAAAACAGGGACCACCTTTGGTGGGAAGGTAACAGTGTTCCGTGTGCCTTTGTCGTTTAGTCATGCTGACCACACAACCACGGAGACATCTTCGGACAGCGCTGGCTCTTTGGCTTAGAAACGGAAATGAGCACCGCCCCCTAGAGTCCGGAACGACTAGCACAGATGTGCGAGGGGAACCTTTACCTTTTTAAGGAGGAGGACAAGGTGGAGCACAAGCAGACTGGCAAAGTTGTGTTATGATAACCAATCTCAGTCCAAGTAACTTTGGTTGAGTTCCTGCTCTGATTTATCCAGTTGGATAAATACCGGGTTGGACTGACAATATTTCATGAAACTATAAAATCGGTTGAGACAGTTTAGAATATCAATTCTCTGCTTGTTACAGTAATCTAAATCAAGTCATTCCTATCCGATGGTTGTCAGAACACATCTTTCAAAGGGTACGTCTCCCACCCCTAAGGAACAGGATTCCTTGGTGAACTTTTCTGCATTACCGTGCAAACATTTTGTACAGCCTCGGTTGAACAACTTTTAAGTTCTACCCGGAATGGCAGTTTATCATAGTACTCCAGCTTCATGGCTGATTAATGTGTTTCAGATCAAATTAACAGTGAGAAAGTTAAGTGCTTTATTTTTGCTGTCTGTTTTTTTTTTTAAATGACCCCATTCTATCAATTCTAATTGGAAACCTTTGTAATTATTGACTTTGGCTTTTTGCAGAGTCAGAAGAACCAAAAAGTACATTTTGTAACAGCAAACCAAAAAAAAAAAAAGGAAGATGCCCTCTTGGGAGATATATTTGTGGAACTGGAATATTCCTGACTCCAAAGCGTTTTTGAGAGTTGCAAGTAAGTGAGAAGAGAACCAGAAATGCCATGGTGGACAGTTAATACGTGGCCATTTGAGAGAAGTCTAGAGATTGGTTTGTAAAAGAAAAGATTATATTCTTCTGCTCCTTGAAGTCACTGGTTGAGTCTTCTTAGGTCTGGGCAGTTCTAGGTGCATAGATTGGTAAAATTCCCATGCCTGTGGCCATTAGGAAAAAGGTAACTGATGATTGGGAAGGAATGGCCCTAATGGCTGACCAGTCCCAAGGATAAATGTCTATGGAGATTCCCAGTCATCCAAGTCATGGATGAGCTGAAGAAGCTTCTTGGATGAGACTTTTAAAGAAAGTCCAGTTGCCTCTTGAAAAAGCACCTTTGGGAGTCCCAAGGCTAATATTTTTTGGAGAGCCCACGTGGACAGGGTGCATTGCTTCACTCCTAGCCCTTCTCTAAAGTTGGCTTCACAGAATTAGTTAAACCACAGGGTGGATTGTTTCATTTTGGCTTACACGTACCACGATCAATGGCTTATGGAGTTTTAGGAACCCTGCTAATGATGGTTAAGACAATAAACTACGGTTGAATAAACCGTAGTGTGGCACAATATGGGGAAGCCAGCAGGGGATCAGGCTGGTGATAAGATTACACGAAACCACTATCTTTCAGTAATTAGTTATTGCCTTCTATCAAGGAGTGAAAAGAACTCAATCCTAGGACTTCGTTTTTATAGAAGGTGCAATTTGTTGTTTCTTTAACCTTAATTGATGCATTTAATTGTTCACAGAGATTGCACTAGACGTACAAAATGCCAATGAATTTAGGGAACAAGGAAGGTGTCACTCACATAATGGCTTTGAGATGCCTAGAAAAGTCAACACACACACACACATTCTC